GGGGGGTCGGGTATGAGTGCCTGGGGGGGGGAATTCCCCCCCCCAGGCACTCATACCCGACCCCCCTGGTGTGGGGCGAGGTGGTGAGGGGGGGGGGGGTTGGATAGTTTAGTGACTGGGGGGAGGGGGGTTTTTGACGGGGGGTGTTTAGTGACTGGGGGGAGGGGGAGGGGGTGTTTAGTGACTGGGGGGGGGGGGGGGGGGGGGGGGGGGAGGGGTGTTTAGTGACTGGGGGAGGGGGGGTTTAGTGACTGGGAGGGGGGGGAGGGGAGGGGGTGTTTAGTGACTGGGGGGGAGGGGAGGGGGTGTTTAGTGACTGGGGGGGAGGGGGGGGGGAGGGGGGGGTGTTTAGTGACTGGGGGGGGGGGAGGGGGTGTTTAGTGACTGGGGGGGGGAGGGGGGTGTTTAGTGACTGGGGGGGGGGAGGGGGGTGTTTAGTGACTGGGGGAGGGGAGGGGGGAGGGGGGGAGGGGGTGTTTAGTGACTGGGGGGGAGGGGGGGGAGGGGGTGTTTAGTGACTGGGGGGGGGGGGGGGGGAGGGGGTGTTTAGTGACTGGGGGGGGGGAGGGGTGTTTAGTGACTGGGGGGGGGGAGGGGTGTTTAGTGACTGGGAGGGGAGGGGGGGGAGGGGTGTTTAGTGACTGGGGGGGAGGGGGGGTTTAGTGACTGGGAGGGGGGGGAGGGGGGAGGGGGTGTTTAGTGACTGGGAGGGGAGGGAGGGGAGGGGGTGTTTAGTGACTGGGGGGAGGGGGGAGGGGGGGGAGGGGGTGTATAGTGACTGGGGGGAGGGGGGGAGGGGGTGTATAGTGACTGGGGGGAGGGGGGGGAGGGGGGGGGGCGCGGCACCAGTGACCCTGAGAGATTCACATTTTGTTGGAGGTCATTTCCTGCTTCCGCTTCCCCTCTGACAGAGAGAGAGAGAGAGAGTGAGTGAGAGAGAGACTGAGAGAGAGAGTGTGAGAGAGAGAGACAGAGTGAGTGTGAAAGAGATAAAGAGGCAGACAGAGAGTGAGTGTGTGAGAGAGAAAGAGTGTGAGACAGAGAGAGAGTGTGGGTGTGAGACAGAGAGAGTGAGTGTGAAAGAGAGACAGAGAAAGTGAGTGTGTGAGAGAGAGAGAGAGGGTGAATGGGTGGGTGTGAGACAGAGAGTGAGTGTGTGAGAGAGAGAGAGTGAGTGTAGGTGTCAGACAGACAGACAGACAGAGAGTGAGTGTGGATGTGAGGCAGAGAGAGTGTGAGACAGAGAGAGAGTGAGTGTGTGAGAGAGAGAGTGAGTAGGTGTGAGGCAGAGAGAGTGAGTGTGAGAGAGAGAGACAGAAAGAGTGAGTGTGAGAGAGAGAGAGAGACAGAGAAAGTGTGTGTGAGAGAGAGAGAGAGAGAGAGGTTGAATGGGTGGGTGTGAGACAGAGAGAGTGAGTGTGTGAGAGAGAGAGAGAGAGAGAGTGTGGTGTGGTGTGATGGAGGCCAGCCTGACGTGCGCTGTGTGCCTGTCAGTGTTTGAGAGTCCCGTCACGCTGCCCGTCTGCTCCCACAACTTCTGCAAGAAATGCATCCTGGAGTGTGTGACCCGGTCCCTGAGCGGCCAGGACTGGAGCAGCGCCGGGGACGGCAACATCTGGAGCAACAGCCAACTGGAGTGTCCTCTGTGCAGGAAAAACAACTTCATCCCCGAGGGAGCGGCCAACCTGTCCGTCAACACCACCCTGCTGGAAGTGGTCAAGATCTTCAGGGGTCAGAGGGATGGTGGCTGTGGCTCTGCCCATGGGGTGTGTCTGCTGGAGGAGGGGGAGGTAGAGGAGGAGGAGGATGGGCTGCGGAGCGGCTCCCCTGCGGGAGGGCAGGGGGGCGCTGGGCTGCGGGCACTGTGCTCCAAGCACTCCCACAGAGACATGCAGCTCTTCTGCAAGGTCTGCAAACTGGCTGCTTGCGGCCAATGCGTGTCTGAGGAGCACACTGGGGTCTTCCACTCCGTCAACCTCGTGGACGTCACCTACCAGGAGGAGAAGGTACTGTTTAAATGCAAAGCGATGGCGGTCAGCCCCGTCACTGCACCAGCACAACAGACCAAACAACAGCCTGCATGGCATACCATACCAATTTGTCTGCTCCTTCCGCTCGGCGGGCACTGGTCTGCTCCATGTCCCCCGCCTTGCCTGTACTAACATAACATAACATGTAGGAGCAGGAGTAGGCCATTCGGCCCTTCGAGCCTGCCCCGCCATTCAATCATGGCTGATCTTCTAATCTAACTCCAGCTAATACCATAACCCTGCCTTATCCCCATATCCTTTAATCCCTTTTGCAATAAAAAATCTATCTATCTCAGTCTTGAATATGTTCAAGGACTGAGCGTGAGTTCCATACATTCACCACCCTTTGAGTGAAGAAGTTCTTCCTCAACTCAGTGCGAAAGAGCTGGCCTGTAATCTTAAGATTGTGACCACTGGTTTTAGTTTCTCCAACCAGGGGAAACAATCTCCCACTATCTACTCTATCATGACCTTTGATGATCTTATAGGTTTCTATAAGATCCCCTCTAATTCTTCTATATTCTAGAGAATATCGGCCCAAATTGGTCAGCCTATCCTCGTAACTCAACCCCTTCATCCCTGGTACTAACCTAGTAAATCTACGCTGCACCCCCTCCAAGGCAAGTACATCCTTCCTTAAATAAGGAGACCAAAACTGCAAACAGTATTCCAGGTGTGGTCTCACCAGGGCCCTATACAGTTGCAGCAAGACTTCCCTACTCTTATACTCTAATCCTTTCATAATGAATGCTAACATACCATTCGCCTTCCTGATTGCTGCTGCACTTGCAGACTAACTTTCTGTGATTGGTGTACAAGGACACCCAAGTCCCTCCGGACGCTAAAACATTCCAGTCTCTCCCCTTCTAAAAAAAACCCGCTCTACTGTTTTTGCTACCTAGGTGGATGACTTCGCACTTCCCTACATTATACTTCATCTGCCACCTACCTGCCCAATCACCTAACCTATCTATGTCTTGATGCATTTTTTTAATGTCGTCCTTTGTGCTGACAATGTCAAATTGTAGTGAAATTGTAATGAAATTGTAGTGAAATTGTAATGAAATTGTAGTGAAATTGTAGAATTTTTTTTATACCTAGAAATAATTGTATGCCTTTTTAAATCAAACATTAGCTGAAACATTAAAAAAACAAGTCCTGGGAAAACTCAGACTTGGCAATGCCAGCTACATCCTTATCTGGCTGGACATTCTATGGAAGCAGAGGAGCAGTAACTTCTGTAACTTTGAAATGAATATGACATTGTCTGACACAAACACCATCTGGAGATAAGCTTATGCCTCTAACATCCCTGAATCCTCCCCTAACCTGAGCTCCCTTCCCTCATTATTTCTTACTCTGTGTTATAAATTTAAAGGTTGTATTCTTGTTAGATAGCTTTAGATTATATCTTGTATACTTTAGACAACGGTATTAATCAGGTACATATTTTATGCCAATTATATTTGATTGATTTTTTAAAGTATAATAATCAACACGAATAGATACTAATTAAGTAGATGACATTTAACCTTGTTTAGAGATATAGATTGATTGACGTCACCATTCGAATAGTTGTTGGAACCACATGATTGATAATGTTTTTTTTAATTGCCTTTGTATGCTTTATGACCTTGAGCACTTTTGGGGATAAAAAGGCTGCTTTAACTGACCAAAAGCAGCTCATTCTTTTGGACTGTCAGGTGCTCTACTTGGGAGACTGGGGAGACTGTTGACTGTTCTTGAATCAGCTCTTTTAATTGCAATTAAATCTCAACATTGGATATATCCACGGTGTATGGTCTGTTTGTAAGACAACGGTTGGGACGAATGGGGAAAAAGTTACAACTCAACAACACTTCCTCCTAGTTTTGTGTCATCTGCGAATTTAGATATATTAACTTCGATGTCCTCATCTAGATCGTTGATGTAGATGGTAAATAGCTGAGGCCCAAGGACTGATCCTTGTGGCACTCCACTAGTCACAACCCGCCAATCTGAAAAGGACCTGTTTATCCCTACTCTTTGTTTCCTACCAGTTAACCATTCCCCAATCCACGTTAATATGCTCCCCCCAATTCCATGGGCCCTTAACTTTTGGACTAACCTATTATGCGGCAACTTATCGAATGCCTTCTGGAAGTCCAAATAGACCACATCCACTGATTCACCCTTATCTAGTTTACTGGAAATATCCTCAAAAAACTCTCTGAGATTTGTCAAACATGACTTCCCTTTTGTAAAGCCATGTTGACTTGGCCTAATTATATTGTGTCCCTAAATACCGCACTACCACATCCTTAATCAACGATTCTAAAATTTTTCCTATCACTGATGTGAGACTGATTGGCCTATAGTTCTGTATCTTTTTCTTTCCACCTTTTTTAAATAGTGGTGTGACATTTGCGATCTTCCAATCCATGGGGACTGTTCCAGAATCCAAGGAATTTTGGAAGATCATACATAAGGCCTCCACTATCTCATAAGCTACCTCTTTTAAAACCCTGGGATGCAAGCCATCCGGACCAGGGGATTTGTCACTTTTTAGTGCTAACAGTTTCCCTAGCACCAATTCTCTACTAATGAAAATTTCCCTAAGTTGCTCCCTGTCCTTATCCCTTTGATACATCCCTATTGTTGGCAGACTTGTTGTGTCTTCTAGGGTGAAGACAGATGCAAAGTACCCATTTAGGGACTCTGCCATGTCCTTATCCCCCATTACAACTTCTCCCGTCTGACTCAAGTGGACCTACATTTACCCTCACTAGCCTATTCCTCTTAATATATTTGTAAAAACTTTTACAATCAGACTTAATGTTCTTAGCTAGCTTACCCTCATACTCCATTTTCTCGCTCTTAATGAGTTTTTTTTGGCAGTTTTTTTTCTACTATTGGCAGCGGTCAGGCCTTTACCCCCATCCTCTGGAAACTCCATCCGTCTCACCTCTCCCTTGCTTCCTTCGAGGCCCATCTCAAAACCTTCCTCCTTGACCGTGCCTTCGGCCACCTTCCCACTCCTCTTGATTCCAACCCCCAGCTCGGGTGCAAACCCTAAACTGTCCAGTGCCTTGGGATTTCCTCCTGACTTGAAACGTGCTTTATAAATGTAATTTTGTTGTTGATGAGAGGACATCCTAGATGAGGTGGGGGTGAGAGGGAATAAGCACTAACAATAAATAAACAACCTGATAGTCAGTTGCACATTGCAATGTGTGTAAGAGAATGATTCCACAGTAACTGATGTGCTGTGCAGTGACTGCACTTAAGCTGCATTGTACAAGGATGTCAAAAGCCATGTTTTCGGAAGTTGGATTGACATAAAAATCTGACCTGCCTCTGAAATGGGCTGAATCTGGCACGTTAAGCAGGGAACAACAACAACAAGATTACATTTGTATTGCACCTTTCAAGTCGGGAGGACGTCCCAAACATTGCAATTAGGAGTGAGTTCCTGCAACAACAGTTGGCTACAATGATGAGAAAGCAGTTTTGTTTTAGTCTCCTGTTTATAATTGTGGTTTAATTTTAATTTAAAAAAATAAAACTAACCATGCAGATTCACTGAGTTTGCTGATTGTTTGAGGAAAATGGCAGTGCAGCTGCTTCTGAAAGCTTGTAGCATAACCAGGACAGATTTTCTGAATAGATTTAAATTTGAGCCTGAAAAATAGTGCCCTAGACAAACTAATAGTTGAAGCAGTGGTGGGTACTGTCCAGCCTCTGAAATTTTAAAATTAGCATTATACTGTTCTATTATTACTACGTGGGATCGGGGAAAAAAAGGTAGTTCTCAATGGGAATTATCAATATTGTAGCAGCTCAGAATTTTTAACAAGGAATCCTGAAGATTAAGAGGTAGTATGTTACAGTCAATTTGCGTAACCCTGCGCTGTAGGAACGGAAGGGAAATAGTTTGTTGTGCAATACTGAATTCCCAGTAACTGACTGAGTCACTAATAGTGAATCATGTTGTGAATAATCTTTTCAAGCCCTTCATTTAACTCACTTATCCCATCACTTCCAGATGATAGAATATTCATATCATGGAACTTGTGACAAAGGACTTCAGTTATATGAAGCATGCTTTAGTCAACATGCATGACTTTGGTGTTGGTACTTTTGGTGCGTTTGCTGGAATAGTGTTTGATGTGTGTGTTTTTACCTACAGTGCTACCTACATGTTGTGATATCAGACTAATAGTTGAACTACTTTATTGTACAAAAAGCATCCAATACACTTTCGAAGTAGTGCAAGAGATAGAATCATACAGTCAAAGGTACAGCTTTAGCAATGAAAGAGGCATTACTTATTCAGCAAGCAGTAGTTGAGACAAACTCACTGCAGAGGTTCTAAGTTTGATTCCTTGTCTGTGACAAGTTATTTGATTATGGCCAAGTATGTATAAGTGGAGTTACAAATGGCCTCAGTACCTCTCAGCTAAAGAGGAGAAAATCAGCCAGGGCTTCCACACCCGAGCTTTATGCAAATACCACTTCTGGACTTTGGGGACACGCAGCATCAGAACTGGCTATAATGATACCTACTTGTCATCAAGTGGTAATAATAATAATAATCCTTGCATTTTAATATAGCGCTTTTCACGTCGGGAGGACGTCCCAAAGCGCTTCACAGAACACGCTGTAAAGTGAATTGACTGTATATTTGTGGGCGAACGCGGCAGCCAAATTGCGCACAGCAATGTCCCACAAACAGTCGTAGATTGAAAATGACCAATTTATTATAATTTTTTTTTGTTTTGTTTTTTGGAGGGATTATTATTAGGCTCTGTGTGGAGTAAGGAAACTCGCCCAATGTTTCGCCCTGCCTGGAATTGAACTCAGGTCTCTCACTTGCAAAGCGAGTGCTCTAACCACTGAGCTACAGGACTCCACAAAAAAACACATAAACACATGTGCACATAAAACACAGAGGGTAACAGTAGCACCAGTGCCTGGGAGAAGGGAAAAATAGTCCCAAATTTATTTCTGCGAGGCGATGAAATTGGTGAGGACATTACCTGTCTGGGAGTGTGTTGCCTATTTATGTTGGCATGTAGTTGAGATTGAATGCTTATCCTAAAGCGCTAGATAAATCAGAGTAAATGCTTGCCGTTTTGCATTCCATGCCTGCTAAATGGAAAAGGATAACCATTTCCCTCTCTTTTTCAGCTTGCTTTCTTCAATAACCTGAAGGAACTGAGGCAATTAAATGACAGAATGAAGACTGAAATTTCTGACAATCCATCTGTTAAAGAGGTAGGAAGTGCCTTGACTTCTAAGGATACTGACCCAGAGTTTCCATTGGATTGTTGGGCAAGGTGGACCAGATCTTCTCTGTTCCAGATCACTCTTTCCATCTGCACTTTGTTATGTTAAATGTTATCTATTTTGTCTGCTGCTTTATACAATATGCATCTTTCTTGTCAGGGGGATATCTCAAAGCATGTGACACTGCTGTCTGGGCAGTCGAGCAAGGTTTGGAACTGAGGGTGGTAGGAAGAGGAAAGATGACCGAAAGCACAGTCAAATGTCTTCAGATTGGCTTTGGATGAGGGGAGGGAGCATGTCGGAGAGATTCCAGGCTAGGAGTTCCACAGATAAGGGATAGAATATCTCAAAAGCCCACTTGTCGACAAGTTGGGCGGATATGGCAGGGAACATGAAGCAGGCCAGAGTTTAATGAGTGAAGGTAACAGCCGAGTCGATAGGCTTGAAGGAGGTTGCTGAGGTAAGCTGGGCAAGATCATGGAGGAATTTGAGGTCAGAATGAGGATCTTGAATTCAATCCACCAGGGAGTGGGGAGCCAGTGGAGCTGAACGAGGATGGGGTGATGTGTTCGAGGAGCAGGAGAGGACACATGTTACAGAGTTCTTGACAGTCTACAGCCTGTGTAGGGAAGAGCTGTGGATCTGGTGAGCAGGCAGGGATGAGCGTTTTAGTGTCCTGAGGGGATAGGTAGAAGTGGAGGTGGGCAATTTTAATGACTCGCTTTGTGTAAATCTGCTGAATTTCTACAATGCGTACTTAAATTTCCAGGAAAGTAATTTCACACAAGACTATCAACACATTAACTTTTAGTACTGAATTCAGATTGTGAGAATCATTCCAATCAATAAAATTCATATAAATGCTACATTCCCCAATTACTGTTGAATTCCCAATTACATGCATACTGTAGGTAGACCAAGACAGAATTCTGATTCAAGGCATCAGAAAGTGTTGGATATTTATCAATTATATTTCTTAAATTTAGTGAATGTAAATGGTGAAACTGATTGCAAGTTGACATGTTTAGCAATAGAATGTTAGATCTCTGTGGTGGTCTTAGTCATCTAGTTCCTGAGCCAGATGGGTCCAGGGTACTCCGAGGCACCGCTGATGACAGATCAGCCAGCCTGGCCCATTGGCAGGATTTGGAGGGGGAGGAATTCTTCCCACTTGAGTCCTGTTACCTGCAAGCCAAAGACTTAATAGGTAGCATTGACCTACCTAGACAAGAAACAAAGCTTACAATTCAGTGGCAAGCTATGTGGTTTTAGCTGGTTAAACTCCGGGCAGAACCCCCAACATGCCAAGGCTTGGAGTCATCAAGCCTTGACTCTCCGCAACCTGAATCTCATACTTTCTGGAATTTGATGAGCAGAATGCATCCATCCACAGATCGCGCTAGGATTATTCCAGGCAGAGAAATGTTCATGCTTAGTTTGAAAACTCTTAAGCTGGGTGCTGGGTTTCTACTCGGGTCAGATTCTCAGGTGATCGAAAAAGAAGTATAGGCACAACATGCACGATTGATGTGTTCCTTTATTTAGAACATTTTAGAGTACGAGGAGGAGATGGTAAAGACCAAGTTTGATCAGATTTTGAAGAGAGTCCAATTGAAGAAGGAGAAGCTGCTGGATGGGATTCAGAAGGAGAAGGAGTGGAAGTGGTGTGAACGCAAGGCTCGATTGGAGAGAAGGCGATCGCAACAGAGAACTGTCGTAGAGCAGCTGCAGGAGTGCGAGAAACTGGTGAATGAATGCAATCCCATCAACTTTCTCATGGTAAGGTTTGTCTTATTCACTCTTTTCAGCAATTATGCAACCAATTGTACTGGAAGTCATTGTATTTTGTTTAAAAAGCTGCTTCCAAGTCTTTTTGTGCAAATACTCAGGTTGATGAAAATTGTGAAGAGGAACTGCAGTAGAGTTATTGGAAATAAGTTACCAGTCACAACATTAGCTTTTTGCCTTCCTGTTCATGAACTTTTATTTAGGTCTCTTGTGAGTGCTCAGATCCATGTTTATTATGGGTTAAGGACGATTGAAGTTTGTTGTTATCCACTGGCACTGTCTCATGTGGAATTAAGTCTTACAAACAAGGAGGGCTCGATGTTGGTCTGTTGTCTTCACTGAGTTATCTGAGGTTATTTTAGGTCGTGTTGGTCAATTAAAATTTGCCTCTGTGCTTCTGAGCAAGAGAGGAAGAAAAAAATAATTTATCAGAGTTCTCACTTCTGAAAACTGTCCAATGATCCTCCTTTAAATATGTAGGTATTGAGTTGTGAAGCTCCTTACACTCCCGACAGTCAGCTATTACTGGCCAGTTGCTTGGCCGTGAATGTCAGGAATGGTTACTTTGGAAATGGACTGAATGGTGGCCAGTTTCTATATAAATCCATCCTGGTTCAGAAACTTTAGGAAAGAGGGGGTGAAAACACATAAAATATGAGATTTTTTTTTTACCAGTGTGTCTGAAATCTTGTATACTGTTGTATACCGTTTTCTCACCACTTTGAACCTTCATTGAAGGTTGTGTAACAGGTGTTGCCCTTCAGAGATTAACTTAATATTCTTTAGAGGATTTCATGAAAATACTGTGACTAGCACAGGGAAATGACCTGACCACACTAACTCAATGTTTATTTGTTTGATCTTGCTAGAAAGGATAGTGAATGGTAGGTTATGCGACGTGGTTGACAAAGGGGAGAAAGAAAAGGAGAATAGTTTCTTCTTGTTCATGTTCCTCTTCAAAGCAATGCAAAGATGAAAAATAGTTGAAAGTATGTGTAGAGCACCTAGTGAAGGCACATCATCTCATTCCCCTCAGAGTCCTGCTGGTTTTACACTGCAAAAAGCATTAAGCCCTACCGATACCATTCAGTAAACCGCATTAATGAAAAGCTGAGTTATGGATCCCCTGCTGCCTGAGTATACCGTGTTTGCTGCATTTTTTTTGGATAGACACATGTGGAAGCTCATCACCATGCTTAAGAGTATCCAAACCAAACTGAGAATTCCATGCATCCCAACTACACATGGAAATCCCAGAGATAGCTTGGAATGTGCACTCTGGGCAATGAATTACCATGAGTTTGATGATGAAATTCTACTAAACTTGCAGCTAAAATAGAATATATTATACAGAAAAAGGCCATTCAGCCAACTGGTCTATGCCGGTGTTTATGCTCCACATGAGCCTCCTGCCCTTCCTCAACTAAGCCTTCAAGCATAACCTTCTATTCCTTTCTCCCTCATGTACTTATCTAGCTTTCCCTTAAATACATCCTTGTGATTTGCCTCAACAACTCCTTGTGGTAGCATATTCCACATTTCCACTAACCTCTATGTGAAGAAATTTCTTCTTTCTTCTATTTGATCTATTTGTGACTATTTAATATTGATGGCCCCTGGTTTTGGTCTCCCCACAAGTGGAAACATCTTCCCTATGTCTACCCTATCAAAACCTTTCATCATTGTAAAGACCTCTATCAGGTCACCCCTTACCCTGCTCTTTTCAAGAGGAAAGAGTCCAAGCATGTTCAGCCTGATAGGTATAATCGGCTTCAGACAATGGGAATCATGCTGAAGCGTCACTCCTGCACTGTTTAGAGTAAGTGTTTTTAGGACTGGTGCGACCTGCAGTGTAAACGCCATGAGTGTGTGCGAGAACCGCAATGAGCTCACCCTTATCCATTGAAGGCTCTCAGTGTTAGTTTGAACTACCCGTCAAGCTTCAAGAACAACCGTATTTTTTGTAATGATTTTGTTGTTTTCCACTGGTTCTTTCCCTGCTGTGACCTAATTTCCCAACTCACATCATCTGGTCTAGAATTGTAGATGCTGCCAGAAGGACTGGGAGGCTCTCCACAACAGTGTTCCGGAGAGTTGAAAGTAGATGTGAGATTTCCATAAAATTTAACACTTTCTAAGCTAAGAAGGGAAATAAGAGGTAATAATTAGAGGTAACATAATTCTGCTGTACCCCATTCAACACATTGTTCTTTCATTCACAGGTGGCTTGTAACTTAAACGAAAGGTAATTGTACTTTTATGCTTCAAGTTTTTACAAATCCCATTTGACGTGTTAGATGTCTTGGTTTATTTGTTACTTTCAGTTCTTTTTCCCACATCTTTTAAATATATATATATATATCTATACACACACTGTGGAGTGCGCTTTTGCTGGATGCCAGTTAACAAAAACAACAAGATTACATTTGTAGAGTGCCTTTCACGTCGGGAGGACGTCCCAAGGTCCCAAGGCAGTTAACCCAAACGGGTAAATCGAACAAAACGCACGGCCCCAATTCATTTGTATTCTTACCTATTTTAAATATGCCAATTAATTCGGATGAAAACCAGGTTACTCGGGGCAAAATGCCGCGCTGGTCGCTGCTGAATGTACTCGCTCGGGCCTTCTGTTTGTCCAGTGGCTGCATTCAGCCACGAGGGGCTCCTGGATATAGATGGGAGGATTCAAATTGCGATTGACAGAAGACTCCCAAGTTATCGTTGATCGGCATGTCTTAACATCCAGACATTCTGCTATCCCGTTAGGAGACCATCCTAATAATAACTAACTTCACCAATGGATATTTACAGCTCACTTTGACCTGGAAGAAATACAACACTAAATATGACTCAGTGTATTGGAGAATTAACATGTTGCCATAGGAGATAGGAAAGGAGTTCAACTGCTACTAGTTGACTGTGCAATAGGAGCTTGAACTCTTATAATAAATGTTCAGGTGACTTTTTCATCTGTTGTAACCTCTTTGCATAACTTGAAGCATAGATTGAGAAAATGTCATCCACACTATCAAACCTGCCTTTCCATAAAACAAATACCGTTGAGCTCCATTATAATGGGGTGGTTTGAGAGTCCAAATAGGGCATGAAAATGGGGTGCAATTTCCACTCGCTGTTTTTGCGTTCGCTGCAAATGTATGTAGCTGGCTCCATCGGCATTTCAAAATGGTAACTGCCATATTTCAGTGCGTATGAAGTTATTTTGGTGGTGAACTGATGATCAATACATAGCCATTTAGCTTCCTGCGTGCTGGTCGGTGTTTTGAAGTGAACATGAACTCAAAATTCTTGCTGTGGGTCTTGTTTTGTTAGGAAGATATCAAATGTGTTTATCAGTAAGGTAGCTTACTCTTGAAAATTATAGAACAGGTTGTTGCAATTGCTGCTTATAATCATACTTTTTGGTATCTTTACCTGGTCTTTTTTCACAAGAGTGAAGAGCAACCTTGCTGTCATGCCTAGTTTTAAGAAATGTGGTGAATTTGCTGGTCCTGCACCAAGACAGTTTTTAATAACGCCTTTGCTGGATAGCATCTCTGAACTTGAATTAACTGAGATAAAAGAACCTACTTGGAATTCAGGTATGCTATTTGGTTTCCATTGATTAACTTTTATTTTTGTGTTGTTTCACATTTTAACAGAAAAACAATGTTCCTGATGTGATTTGTTTTGAGATATTTTGTGGTCTTGTCCAGTGCATGATTGTGTGACGTCTACAATTGCTGGAGTAATAATAATAATAATAATCCTTGCATTTGATATAGCGCTTTTCACGTCGGGAGGACGTCCCAAAGTGCTTCACACAACACACTGTAAAGTGAATTGACTATTTGAATATTTGTGGGCGAACGCGGCAGCCAATTGCGCACAGCAATGTCCCACAAACAGTCGTAGATTGAAAATGACCAACTTATTATTGTTTTGGGTTTTGGAGGGATTATTATTAGGCTCTGTGTGGAGTAAGGAAACTTGCCCAAGGTTTCGCCCTCTGCCTGGAATTGAACTCAGGTCTCTCACTTGCAAAGCGAGTGCTCTAACCACTGAGCTACAGGACTCCACGTAGTTTACCTTGGAACTAGTTCCGTTATCGCAAGTGAACTATTTCTTGCTGCTATCGGTCTCCAGGTTCTTTAGTCCCATTTCAATTGAAGGAGCGAGAGATGTGTATTCTAGAACCTCAAGATGTACCCTTGAGTGGCAAGATGTATGTGTGTAGCTCACCTTTCTGCACATCCTGAGTTTCTGATATAAGTAATAATCCTTCCATTTGATAAAGTACCTTATCACATCTCAGATGTCTCAAAGCACAGGATTTTAATGTGAAGTGTAGGGACAGTATATTTGTAGATGAATGCAGCAGCCGATTTGCGCACAGCAATGTTTTACAAACAGCAATGAAGTGAATGACAAATTTAATTTGGGAGATTGTTGCCCAGGACAGTGGGAGAAACTCTCTTCTCTTTTTGAATAGTCCCAAGGGATCGTTAACAGAGATCTGAACAGACAGACGGAGACGACAGTTTAATGTCTCATCTGAAGGACAGCATCTCCAATAGTGCACTGGAGAATCAGCCTGGACTACGAGTTCAAAGTCCCAATGTGGGGCTCAAACCCACTTGCTTTACTTAGAGGCGAGAGTGCAACCAACTGAGCCAAGCTGACACCTGAACTAAATTCCACATGAGGTGTCAAGTGGAGATGAGACAATCCTCCCGCCTCTTGCTGGGATAAAATATATTTTATACCAGCAAGATACAGATAGACACCAGTCACGAATTCAACCCCAATGATTCACAAAAAGATTTGGGGGAATTGTACAGATTGTACAGATGACTAGGGGAAAGTCAGATTTCTCACAGCCTCCACTAACCCACCTCCAAGTAATGATGTGCTTTTACACTCACGTAATTCAGAGCAATCATCTTCATATCTGATGTGGAAGTTATAAAATGCAGAGACAATTCTTGATTGACCACTTCCGTTAGCTGTTTATGTAGAATCAATACTCATTTGCTTTGCTGCTGCCAGTAGTCATGAACCCAGACTATAAACGGCTTCTTTATTCGCTGAAGGGAACTATTTTGCATTTTCCTACATTAAACTTCATTTGCCATCTATAAAATGGTGGAAGCTGGCAAAATTATGTTAGAACTCACCTCACTCAGGAACTTTGTGTGTGTGTGTGCGTGGGTGCATGCGCACGCATGTGGGTGCATGTTGGATGAAGGTAGGGTTAAGCGAGTTAATAAAGGGTGGCCACCTCAGTGTGAATCAGGGCTTTCAGCAGAGGAGGACAATAATGGAGGGAAAAATAAGAACGCTAAAGAAACTACGATAGAAAATAATGCCATGTTTTGAGCATCACATTTTGGAACCTTCGGCAGAATGTCTGTTTTTGACCCTGTTGGTAATGCTTTGTCTTTTATTTGTGGTGTTTGTTTGCTCTGTGTGTAAGTACACTATCAGAGGGTAACCTTATTAGAAGCATTTCAGTGATCATTAGATTTTTTCTCGATGAAGATAAATCAGTAGTAAAATTTGAATCACTAAACTTGTATTAATTTATGTTTGAGTTATTGTAAAATAAAGCCAAACCTGTCAACTGCGGATTACTATTACTTTCAATGCGTGTTTGTTACAATGCAAGCTACTTAATAGGATTAGCAAGAAAAGTATTGCCTTGTTCCATAAACATGGTAATTGAGGATTGATCTGGTGCTGGAAGCAATGTTCCCACTACCAGGGGATTGCTTTGAATAAAATGTAATGTATAAGTTGTATTTTAGGTTGTACTTAATCCCTCAAGAAAAACAAAATAATAAAATTGGTCACTTCAATCCACGACTGTTTGTGAGACACTGCTGTGCACAATTGGCTGCCGCGTTTCGCCCACAAATAAATCACTTTGCACTATGTTCTGTGAAGTGCTTTGAGACGTCTAGAAGATGTGAAAAGCACTATATCAAATGCAAGGATTGTTGTTATTACCTCGATGCATTTATTTTTATCAACCAACACCTGAAGGTGCAACCTAGAAAATATTTTACAGGAGTAAAAAAACTTGTGAACAATTCAAACCAGCATGAGTTTATGCTAATATAGAAACGTGAATGAATAGGACAAAAAAAACACCATTGTAGTCCATCTAGCCAGTCCTAGCCAGTTTATTTTTAAAAACGTCGCACTATTTTATCTCAACACCTTTATAGAGCCAATGGGATCAACAGCCTCTTCTGTGTTGAAAACCTACAGTAGCTTTCAATTAATTTCTTTGCAAAATACAGGTTGTTAATTAAAAACAAAGTATTGGAGACTGAGTGGCAAGACTGATCACGCTCTGTGGTGTATTTCTTCCAGATACTGATCATTCTGCGGGTAAACACCACACGGATGGTTACAAATTCAAAAAACTGTTGAAAATATGGAAGCAGCCAAAGGATGGTACACACGTCGAGTTTCAAGTAAGCTTCTGTGACGAGCTTTGCAGCTTATTTTAAAAACGGAATGCTCCCAGAATATTGTGATTCACAGCTTTTCTTGAAGCAAAGCAAGTTTTTTTATCTTTTAAATTCAATTTGGCTCCCACCAACTCAGTTATTAAAACTAGTACCTGATGTGAAATTGAGCTTTCCAGACCTGGAAGCTCCAGATTCAAGAGCTTACCAGATCTCAGCAAGGGCAACAGTAGGAGGGCTAAATTTGGTCCTGACACTTCTGGGTTAGGGAGGGGAAAATCAGCCAGCGTTCTTGAATATCCAATATGTCAACATCAGAGGCCCCAAACATCTCATGGGCTATTATTAAATGTCAAAATATCTTATGATCTTAACCTCAACATTGTTATTTTTAAGATGTAAGGTTGTGCAGAAATTTGAACAATTTTAAAATCCATTGTTCATTTGGAAGCTGCTTTCTGCAGTTCTTAAGGCTTACTGTGAGAGATTTTGAGCCTCTGGTGAGGGCGGGGTCAGACTTAGCTGTGATGACCTCCCTGTCGTTAAAGAGCACACAAGCTTGCAGTGTATGCTCACATATCCAGGATGATCAATTTGAGGGGAGGTGTATCTGAGGTTGCTAGATGCGTGTCGAACCTTGTGCTGGCAACAGACAATGCCTTTGGAGAAGAAGGGAAATTGGAGGGGAAAACAAAACAACAATAAAATTACATTTAAAAACAGAAATTCTCTTTCAGCCACAATTGCGATTTGAATTTGAATTCCCCCATGGGGAACACAATCACTATTGTTTGACAGCAATGAAGGAATACCAGAATATGACTCTAGAGGTAAGTGCTACTGATTGCTTTTAGACTGCATAAAAATAAAATTAAAGCCATCCCCAACATCCATGTTCATCCATAGAGATTCAAAGAAATATTATCAGATTGAACGCTACAATAGTTTGAACTTTATTTATGCCACCTGCAAACTCTACATTTACTTTTGCTTATCTCTGTTAAGTTCAATACAGATTTTCTGTCATCCAAGGTACTGCATATCTATCTGCTTCATGTTCCCTCCCCCATTATCGGCTTTTGGGCTTTTAGCATATCTGCCCCCATTCTCAGGAACTCCATCCTGGACTCCCTCTGATTTGCCTGTCCTTCAACTCTTTCAAGGTCCGTCTCAAGACTTTCCTTTTTGGCCCCACCTTCGGTAATCTTTCTCCTCCCCACTCCCCCTTGGCTACCACCCTCTGCTCGGGTGCAAAACCCGGACTGTCAAGCACCTTTGGATGGCCTCCCCACTTGAAAAGCTATATAAATGTAAATTTGTATTGTATTGTGAAATGGGCCCCAACATTTTGAAGACTAAACAAAGAATTTGCTGATCAGAAGTATTTCACAGGTTCAGCAGAGGTGATTTTTAAAAAAAAATTATATTGAGGGTTTTTTATTGTTTGGGAATTGTGCACACGGCTTTGTATTGCAGTGAAATGTCACTGGGTTTATTTTACTTAGAAATGACTATTTTACTGAGAAATAAATTGGTGTTCTTTACAGATCTAAATATATTCTCACTGTTTTACTCAATGGGAAATATTTTGGTTGCCTTCACAGGAACTGCGCTACAACCATTATCATTCCTGCAGAAAAGACTGGAACTGCTTTGTGTCTGAAAAACTGGTGGATACAGAAAATTTAGCAGCGTCTGCAGTGTCTTCTTCTGACAATTCTAAAGATTTCTTTAAAAAATATGACAGTGCCAAACAGTCTGGCACTAGGCAATTTAGAGTGGGTCGATGCGTGAAAAAGGTCTGTGATCAGGCTGCAGGCAATTCAGACTTGCATTTGTCTCTTGACTCAGAGTTCCCTATGAGAGACTCTAAGACATCAACCCCCTTGGCTTAAATAAGTTGTTCAGTGCACCAGAGCAGAAGCTTGACCTTACGCCTTCAATCTTGGATGATTCTGAGAAAATTACAAGCATCAGTAGTAGTCTGGAAACAATAAAAGTCACAGAATCTCTCCCAATCACTCTGAGTGCAATGAGTTTAACAAAAACTGAACTTCCCAGCTCAATATCCAAATCAGAAGACTCCAACAATTCAGGTTTTAGTTTACCACCATGGGCAGCCCCACCTGGTCAGGTCAGTAAGCCTAGAGACTTCTGGTTATCTGACTGGTCCAATGAATCATCCTTCAGATTTGGAATGGCTGCTGATAGCACTTCAGCCAACAAAGTAGCAAATCAACAAACATTACCAGCAGTGGCAGGTTTCTCCTTTGGCAAATGTGAAAAGAAAGAATCGGCTACAAGTAACGCAACTGGTATTTTGACGTCTGAAACCCACAGTCAAACTGCCTGTGATGCATCCATCAAATCTACAAAGGTGCAAATCGATGAAGAAAGTGGCAAAAAGTCTAGCATTGCTACCAGCGCACAACCTGCGGACTCGCTCATTACAGCGCCAATCTTTTATTTTGGAAGTGAAATAAACAAAAGTTCGCTGAAAACAGGGCCTTGTAAGTTTGGTCCCCCTGTTTCCACATTTTATAAATGCAAACAAGCACCGGTATTTTCCGTTGCAACACCCTGTAATTCTGAGTCCATGATGGATCCTAATCCCTTTTCGATGCTGGCCCTAAAACTAGCAGCCACAGGAAGTACAGATGCAACTAACAGGGAAAGTTCAGCTCCTGTTTCTGAGTCAGATGCAGCAAAGGAAGAGTCCAAGGACTTTAAGCTGACTCAGAAATTTGAAAGTGGTACTTTCAACCTGAAAGAGAACAAGTCTGTTTCATCTATCTCTGTGTCATCCCCTCCTTCCAAACTGGAAGAAGGCGCAGGTGATGTCACAACCACTGTTTCTTCAATTGCTTCAGCTTCCACGATAGCTTTCTCACCACCCTCATCCTCTCTCCTCTCAACGTTACCAGGCTTTTCGAGCTATTTTCTCCCAACTCCTAGTAGTTTAATACCATTGCCTCTCTTCACCTCTTTTGCTGTATCTCCCTTCGTCTTCTCCACAACCAATTCAACTGGATCCAGTCAGGTGGATTCCTGTGAGGGCCACTCACTGACCAAGCAGCACTCCAGCAGCATTGCAACAGCAGGTAATGTTGTCAAACCAAAGATAGCCTCAATATCAGAAGTGCCATTAATTCCTCAAACATCCACTGTTAGCAGAGCAGATTCAGCTAGATCTAACCATGTGGTAATTACAGCAAATTTCAGTAACTCCTCAGTTGCCTCTCCTCAATTTGCCACTTCTGCCAAAAATCCTCTTGTTTTGCCTGCTGCGAGTTCAACCATATCCAATCACATGGCATTTACTTCTGTGAATCCCAGCAAGGATCTTTCATCAGCCTGCCAGCAACCAAACTCTGTCGCACCAAATCCTGATGCTAAACCAAAGGAAGCTTCAACATTTGAAGTGCCCTTAACTGGTCAGTCACTGGTATCGGAGATCAAATCCTTTTCATCATTGCAGCCTTGTAGCACAGCATCTTTATTTCTCGGAAACCCCTTTGAGGGTTCTGCTAATGGTTCAGATAAAGAGGGTACTGCTTTTGGCGATCAAATATGCGGTATGAAAGCTCCGCGTTCATCTGAAGATGAAAAAGATCCTGCATGTTACCTCAGTAATGTAAACACCAGTAGCAATGTTTCTTGTCTGGAAGCTGCTGCTAAGAGCTTCGTCAAAGAAAATGCTTTTATTAATCCAAAAGCATTCACTTCTGCACAGGATTCCTTGTCCCACGCAGGGCAATCTCCATTAGTCCTGCCAAGTGCTGCATCCGTGTCATCTGACAGCAGTAGTTTGGTGGAAGTTCAGAATGATGGCCCAAAAGATGAAGCTGCTCAGAAAACAATTACAGCTGGCTCCCCTTTGGCTTCTCCTGTTGTTCATCGTCCACTTTTTAACTTTGGGACAGAAGGTGTTTTCCAGTTCAAGCTGGATTTAAATAAACCAGTTAATGTGTCAGAGAGCAATGCAAGCGACACAGGGAACTGCAAACGTGAGTCCCAGGAAATGCTGCCATCCTGCCCGCCAGTTAATCACTCTTCAGAGATGGAAGATCAAGATGTTCTCTTCTCTAACAGGGCAAAGCTGTATCAGTTTGACAGGCCCACCTCACAGTGGAAGGAGCGAGCAGTCGGCGAAATGAAAGTTTTCCAACATAAAAGAAAAAAAATATCTCGAGTGGTGATGTGGAGCTCAGTCAATAAATGCTGTGCCAACCACTGGATCACAAGAAATCTGCAGCTGCGGCAAATAAAAAACAGGTTTGACAGCTGGGCCTGGCGTACACTGGATTTTTCTGAGGAGAAGTCCATGGTTCTAGATCTAGCTGTGCGGTTCCAACTAAAGGAGACAGCTCTGGCTTTCAAGAACGTTTTCGAGAACGTGCAGAGCACAGTTGAGGTTTGTCATTTGCCAGAAGCGAGACTAAACTGTTCAGGAGTAAATGGAAAGTCCGACCCAAACGTGAACAATCTCGGCGACCTGTCTGAAATTGACCAAGTAGCAATACAAGGTAAACCTTGTAGAAGAGTTTTTGACTTAATAAGCCTTGTATTTCATATAGCGCCCTTCATGATGTGAGGATATCTGAAAACACTTTACAGGATATACTGTAAAGTGTATTGACTATATATCTTTGTAGGTGAATGGGGCATTTAATTTACACAAATGTACAGTGTCCCACAAACAGCCATGAAGTAAATTAGCAATTTTATCTGGGAGATTGTTGGTTTAAAAAAAATATGAAATTCTTCAAAAGCTTCTAAGGTTTGCATTGCGACGCATGGCCCAGATGGCTTAATACCCTGGCGTACTTCATTTGTACAAGTATTTAATCTATATGTATTTTTGTTGTGACTTAAAGGTATCAATTCTGTAGGGCTGCTGTCACTTTTTGAATCACATACCTTGATAATGATGAACAGATGGATGTCAGTGTGTAACAGATTTCTGTGTGTGTCTTTTACTTGTATAGAAGATGAGGAAGAAGCAGTAGGTGATGCAGTGATAGTGAAGGAAATTGAACCGATTCCAGAGCAGACGCCTCTGGCCACAGAGTTGCACTTTCCAGCAGCCTTCTGCAGTGACAGTAAACCCGCCCACCACAGCAGTGAAGAAGAAGGTATATTTTTGAATTATTTGAAGTTATCCATTTTACAAATTTGTGATTGTGAAGGAATTGAGTGGAATAGACAAAAAATGTTTTAATCTTCTGCCCTTCAAGCAGCTTTTCCCCTGTTTCTAATATAATTCTGGCAAAGATTTTTCTTCATCGAATAGCTATTTGATTCCTCACTTAGTAATCCATTCCAAATATTCAGCTCTGTGTAAAGTGGTTGCATCCATTGTTTCATTGTCTTCACTCTTCTGAGCTTGAGCCTGTGCTGTCTTTTTTAAATCTGTTACAATGTTAAACTTATTGTTATGGTTCAATTTATTATTACCCTTAATAATAATCCTTACATTTAATATAGAGCCTTATCACGTCTTTGAGACGTCTCAAAGCGCTTCACAGAATATACTGTGAAGTGAATTGACTGTATATTTTGTTGGCAAAACGCGGCAGCCAATTGCGTATAGCAGTGTCCCACGCCAAAATATAGCGCCTTTCACGCCTTCCTAACGTGGAAGGTGCTATATCAAATGCAAGGATTATTTTTACTATGATGTCCTTTTTTTTAAGTCTAATTTTTTTATGGCTTCCTAGTTGTAGGATATCTTATGGCTTCATATTTTTTTTCTCTTCTCCCATCTCAGTTGAGCTGTGACAATTGAAAGAATAAATGAATTGAAAAGACAACCCCAAGAGTGTTGATATACAAATACCTTTCCAACTCGAGTGGATCAATGTTATGAGAGGATATTTGTATGGATCCCTAATGACCATTTGAAATAGTCTTGGATTTTTGGGGGAAATAATTCTTCAAGATGTAACTTTATTTTCTGTGTGTTGTTTTGAGTCCAGGAAGTTAAGTGATGTTGAAATCACAAATTTGAATTGCACAAGCACACATCGTAACGAGTGCCAGAATTTTTTTTTGTTGATTAAAAGGGCAACATGAGTTACAATTTGTTCATTTCATGCAGTCATCTGATACAGGTACAAGGTTTGAGACCAGAGAACGAGAAAAGTATAGTGCTATAGTGAAATATGCATTGAGACACTTTTTTTTAAAATGCATTGGGACTAGAAAATAATTAATGATTCTGAATTTTTTTTTAAATGCATTGACTTTCAGAACAAGATCTAAGCCTGAAGGAAGATTCAAGATGAATCCTTTATTTGCGGTAATTTCAAGTGAAAACTGAAACCAACATGTACTACTATAAGGAGCAATCTGGTACTATGAAGTGGTGATAGATAAGAATTCACACTTAATGTCTGCTAATTACTTTAGGAAGTTTCAATTTGATGTACTCTGAATCTAGTTATTATTTCTTTAAAGTAACTTTACCAAACACCATTTCCTAGTTATAAACTTGATTCATGAGAAATAAAGGATGAGGTGGTAGTGTGTTAAGACTGGCTTTTTAATAATTTTATTTAGTTTGGGGGTGGTTGAAGGTCAATCTCTCATAACTGCCTGTATTCATTGGCAAGAATGTCCACTTTTACATGTTTCCTGAAGGACCTTTGACATGTTTTTTTCAGTTTACACAACTACAATGCCTTATTTTTTGTTCAATAAAATGTTTATACTTTCGACTTGTGTATCTGTCACTCTGGGAATGAAAATGAATATGCCACCTCTGTTGTTCAAAAGAAGTAATTTAAGGACGAAAGCAACCTTCAAACAGCCATTTTACGTTTAAGTAGACTTAGATAGAAGGGCAAGAGGGCACAATTTCAAGGTTGTGAAGGGGTATTCCAGTACAGGTGGTGAAGCACCTGAGCTGGTGGTTCAAAGGGGAAAGATGTCCAAAGCACATTCAAACCAATAAGGTTTGAGCTTGGCTTTGAAATGGAGGGAGAGGAAGTCAGAACAGATTCCAGGATAGTTTCACAAATATCACCATTCCTGTCAAGTCGAGAACAATCAGGGGGAGGGACCGTCCGGCAGACAAAAATCTCCCCTCCACCTGCTGGCAACTGAACAGAATGAGTGGGAGCAGGAACATTGTGCCCTCCACTGACTTTCTCCCGTAACGCTTCCAGCACCACAAACCCAGCCTGCACCACCATTTAGTGTGTATTTTAAGAGTCTTACATTTTCCCACAAATTCCAATGACTTTCAAATTTAGTGGATAGAAAATTGTACACAATTTCTAGCTGTGGCCAATAGGACTTTTAGTTTGGGTCAAAATGACAACATTTGCCCTTGCTAATTGACATTTCTGCTTTGTGAGATGAAGAAAACTCAATTCTGAGTAAGACTGGGGGGAAAAAAAACTGCTTAGTTTTAAAACTAAAGCTGGCTTTCCCTCCCCAGTGTTTGCTTAGTTCACCAATTTCTGAATGTCTCAGTTGGATATTTGCAAACAGGAAGTCTCAATTCAAAATACTGGATGGATTCATTATGAATATTTTACCTGTAACATGCCTCAAATTTAACCCATCACATCAGCCCTTGAAGCAGCTTCTTGATGTCCTTAGAAAATATAATTCTTTCTGGAGCAAGTGCTATCTATTTTTACAAAAATCAAAGCAACTTTTTGTTCAGAGTAGCTGGAAATTGAGAAATAAGTCCTTGACATGGTATGGCACAGAGGCAGACAGTTGTAAACAATTTTTTTTAAACATCTTTATTTGAAGAAAGTATTCTTCCAAAGGTGCTTCATTTATTACATTGAAATGAAAAAGCTTAAAGAATTTTTGCATTTACCCACAGTTTTTACCAAATTGCTATTCACTTTTTTTTGAAGAAAAATATGTAACAGGAATTAAATGTTATAACTATGCCCAAAATACCTTTTACAAAGACTGTATAGCAGCACTTTATTTCCTCCTGGGCGGAAATTCCTGAGGTTGGGAACTCAGCATTCAGAAGATCAATAGTTCAAGTCCCACTACTCTGGGACACAGCACGTTGGCACACCAATGTACTGTGCCAGTGTGCTTCTGAATAAAATCCTCTAACTTTTTTCCTCCCCAATTTTTCCCCTGCTTGTGACAGCAAATGACTCATTTTTCCCTTTACTGAGGTATGGTCCCACAGGGGCCCCTATGGTATCTCACATAAGGAAGCATTCTTCATGTGCAAACTTTGATTGTTGGTCTATTTTACTGCAGAGGGCATCATGGTGGATTCCAATCTTGTTCGCACCCAACTACATATACATGTACACACCTTTAGAAGGGGAGAGTCTCTGGATGAGCAATCATAAGAAGCCTTACTGATTTTCCTAACCAAGTGGCAATTGAAGTCAATTGTAGCCTGGTCCTCAGCAGACCAGGATTCAAACCTGCAAGCTTCTGGTCTTTTGTGGCTTAGTACAGCACTGGACGGTACCCTTTACCCACTAGGACATTGGAGGAGCTCTTAGTTAAATTTGGAAACAAAACCATAGGGTAAGGGAACTGTACACTCACAGCAGATTCTGTTCAAATACAGAGAGCTGCAGACAGACAGCTACTTCGTCAAATTACCCCAAGTATCACCCGAATTCTGTATGTGCACATTAAAGAGGAATGTTACTGTGTGTGTGGGTAGGGGGGTGCGGGGGAGAAAGATGGGGGAGGGCTTTCAAGTGCTTCCCCCTTTTACATGTCTTGCAAAAAAGATTTTTTTAAAAACCTTCGCTGGCTGGAGAAGTCCATCATTTAAACAGTTTCTCCGACCACATGGTTTGTTACTACTACAAAACCATCAACTTGACAAATGTGAGGAAGGGCAAGGAGCCTCACTGTTTTAATGGGAAATATGACTGATCTGATTTCACCTCCCGCTCTGACTGAACCTGAAGGTTTGGCTAGGTGCAGAAGAGGAAGCAATAAATTTATGATTTTCCTACCAGGTAGCAAAACTATTGATGGGGTAGGAAGATAAATTTGTATCAACATTGAATTCTGTTGACCCAAAGAATTTTTTGTGCTCAGTGCAATAAGGTTTCAGCTGAATTACTACAATGTCTACTTTTAAAAAAGAATTAAGCTTAAGATTAAAGTATGTGGAGTAATTAGTCTTGCGCGTACAACTTAGAATTTCAATGCCATATAAGTTACAACCAAAAATCCAGATTTGTTTTTTTTTGGTGTGGTATAATGAATGTGGGAACCAGGACATTAACTTTTTATCTTTTCGAATTTTTGGTAGTAGGACTCATTCAGTTGTTCAAATGCCAACACCACGTGGTCCTCTTTGTTGTCGCAGAGTTCTTTGAGGGAGGTTCTGGGGAGAGAAGGGCGAAAAACATTGAAACAACAAAATACTTCACAACAATATTCTGCCCCCAGAGTGGTTACATTCCTCTTTTGCTCACCATCACTACAATGCAAAGAAACCCACATATTTGGCAGATTGCAGTTTTGCGAAATTAGTTACTAAGTTATACTGAATAATTTTATGATTGTTGGTGGGTTATAAATGCTTTGTGTTTGCCACTCTAATGGCGAGCCTCTTATTCAGAGTTATACACATCCTATAAAACAACACCTAATAGGAAAAGCTATGCTCTCTACATCATTTTCCAGACTGTGGTGCTGCCTTCAACTCATTTTTGCGGTTTATACCTTTTTTAAAGAAAAAAATAACTTTCAGCACATTTTATAGTACTCGCTGAATACAACAGTGTTATGTGCAATAAAAAGGTAATCGGGAGTATTCTGGTTAGCCCAACTCTTGGCACTGTTACAGACAGATTCTAATTCCACGGAGGTATTCAGTATAGTGCAATGTTTTGCCAAATGCACCTTCTTGAATGCAGTCCCGAAGCAAAACACCATCTATCCCAGCTTTCCTGTCACAACACAAGGTAACTGTAGTGACAAACAGTGGCTTCAGAAAACACAAAATGAATTGCATCATTCCAAAATGTATTTTGTGATACAAAAATTAATCGTGTCTCTAAGCAAATACAGGAGAATTCATCTGTAACTAAACTGTACAAAAAGCATTGTCTACAGTAAGCAAACATCTTTCATACCTGATTGAATTAAGAACGAGACGAAAGTCATTGAGGATGACATAGGCATCTCCCAGATGCAACCTGAAAGGAAGAGAAATGTTTAAATATTCTCTTTTCACTTCCTTTTCCTCTAAATTTAGCATCAAAAGAAGAGCATAGTGCAATGCAGCAGCACCACTTACATGTTGTCATTCATCAAAGCCTTTAAAGAGCCATGCTTGTAAAAATCCAGGGCATATGCGTTCAATGGCATTTTCCTGCCTTGGCTGTCATATTTCTTCAGTCCGAGCAAAGGGATGTTACTTGAGTTAATGTCAATCGTGCGCAAAGCAATCTGAAATGGCAGATTCCAAAAGATTATTAATTAGAATAAATTCTCCATCTGAAAGTAGGTAATTGACATGTCTGTCTACTTTCATTTTAATGTGCAAATAAATGCAGCAAGTTTACATTTCTCTACCATAAGTAATATAATGATAATTTGGTGTAACGCCTTTCATGTCAGGAGGACATCCCAAAGCGCTTCAGAGGATATACATCGTAAAGTAATGTGACCTATGTTTTTGTGGGTGAACACAGCAGTCAATTCAGCATAGCAATGTTCTACAAACAGCCATGGAGTGAATGACAATTTTATTTGGAGGATTGTTGTCCAAGACATTGGAAGAAACTCCCTTCAATTTTTGAATAGTGCCATGGATCCTTAACATCCATTTGAAGAGGCACAGGACGGCACCTCAACAATGCATTGGAGTGTAAGCTTAGACTATATGAGTTCCAAGGCCCGATTCAGGCTTCAACCCACAATCTTTCGACTCAGAGGCGAGAGTGCTATCAACCAAGCCAGACAGCAACTTTTCAATTGTAACTTCATAATTTTGAACAATAGTAATGCTTGATGGAGATTGGAATTATCTGCACAATACTTTACCCCAAGTGAAGGAATAGATACATTGAGAGGGTAGCTTTTCTGTGAATGGAGCAACAAGCCTTTTCTTGTTCCAGGTTTGTTTCTTTCAGCAAACCATGATTCATAGCTGTTAACAGCAGATATATGTCAAGTCAGCGATGACTTTAAGAATAGTAACAACAGGAAGGATTCAATCACTGGGATGAGCAATTTTACATTATTTTTGTCTCAAATGCTCATCACAATTGAAATTTTGGAATGACTAAGACAATCAAGTAAAAGTAAAAGAAACTTTGACAGGATTGATAGACATCATGAGGATCAATGGGATCAGAAGTCACTTATACATAATTACAACAATAACGTGCACTTATGTAGTGCCCTCCACGCAGGGTAGCATCTCAGAGCGCTTAAGAGTGGTGGAGCCTGACTCCGAGGGGGAGTGGGGGTTTGACCGTAAGCACGGTCTTCTTGCAGCAAAGAGTACTTACATTGTCTACGTGATATGTTTGGAAAAGATCCATGTTGGTAATGCCAGATAAACGTGCAAATGGTGACACAGCATTGGTGGGATGTTTTCCAGGAGTGGTCATATCTGCTACTAATGTGCCTTCACCAGCTGGCAGGCGTTGGACACCTGAAGAAGCTGAAGAGTGTGGAGTAGGAAAGAACACAAAAAGCACTGATGAATAGTGTCACTCGGCTATTTGTTTCCACACTGGACAATACTAGATTCCAGATATATCAGTTACGTTGATATAGTGCCTTTCATGTCTGGAGGACATTGCAAAGTACTCCTTAGGATTTAGTATAACATGTAGAAACTCTGTGGGTTTTGTAGGGAACATATGGCAGCCAATTTGCACACAGCAATGAAATGAATTACGCATTTTTTTTTAATTTGGAAGTTTGTTGGCCAGAACACAGTGAACATGCCCTTCTATTTTCAAACAGTGTCATAAGATCTTTAACAACCACCTGAACAGGCAGAAGAGACCTCAGTTTAACATTGAAACCAAAGAACCGTACCTACAATAATGCAGCAACCTCCCCTCCCCCCCACCCCAATGTCAGCCTGGTTTATACAAGTACAGAGTCTTAACTTGTGTCTTGAACCCACAAACCACAAATAATGCAGGCATTAATAATTGTTTAAAACTTGGAATACTCCTCTCAAAGCATGTGCTAATGCCAAAGCATTAATGAGGAAAATCTGTCTGGGTAGAAATTACACACCATTGTATTTAAGCTTCATAATATTTCTGAAAAATCAGAAAGTGTTCTTAAAATTACATGCAACCTTGGATTTGGAACCTTTCACTCACTAATATATAAAAACATAACACAGCCAGTGGTGTGAGTTGAGGGCAGGAACTGTAATCATTTTTTCCTCCTGGGGAATATAAAAGGAGGCAGAATGCAGAATATAATTCGATCTCAACAGAAATGAAAATGCAATGTAAAAAGTATTATTAACCCCACATTATGTATTAGATCAGGGGGAGGGAGGGGTTGATCATAAGGGATAAGATTTATTTAGGATTAAAAACAGATTAGTGCTCAATGCATTGGGTTAATAATATTAAGTGCATTAAATTACATTGGATTGTATTTCTGTCATATCTGGTCATTCGTCTTGTTTCTTCCATGTACTTGTACAGCTGAAAGAACTGAGTTTATTTCTTAAATAATGCTGGGACCACAGCAGCACAGAGGAGAACCGCTAGTTCCAGTTTAGCAGCTCAAAACAAAGTGATTTTCTCTCTCTCCTGCCTCCAGATCTCTGCCAATAAAGTCCCCCCTCTTCATTACTAGTCAACAAGCAAGGTATCTTTAGTGCCTTCGTGCAGTCAGACAACAGCAGTAATAAATAAATAATGCTGGAAGAAATTTGCAGCCCCGAAAAACTCAACTTTTTACTACTACAGTGAGTACATGCTCCCATTGTACCATCCAGTGCATCAACCCGCCTTGCTCTCCCACTGTACCATCTGCCTGTCCTTCAACCAATCCAGCACTCTTTGGACTACCAGACAGTGGGAGGAAGTCTATTCTCTTTGATTAGTACCTCGAGATCTTTTAACACAACAGATGTGTGACTTCAAACTAGAAGACCAAACAGAACGGGTTAAATTCTTACTTATTCTGCTCAGAGGAAGCTGGCATTCTTCCAGCATGTCAGCCTGCTTTGAGGCAGAAAGAAGAAAGCATCCAAAGGTCTCCTGGATGGATTGGTTGTATTCGTCAACTGCATCTGCAAATTCTTGAGGGAGGTCATCCAGGAACACCTAGAAATATAAAAAGCACATCAGCAAGTCCTGCCAGCTCTTATGTAACTGAGTTTCATGTAAATCAGAAATAATCAAACTGCTAGGTTTCATTTCTCATTTCTGCAGCCTGCCAGGTCAAGGAGGATTCCTAGGCAGCAACAAAGTATTCCTTGCACTTGTAATTACAGTATAATTAGATTATTCTTTGCTTCTCTACGACACTTAGTTGGTGCCGGTTTGCACCCAGCACTTTATTAATTCCATTGTAGGAAGGCCAAGGGAAATCTAGTGGTGTAAATATCTTCACAGCTATTTAAAGACACAGGCTTTCTTTCATGTAAAACCTGCTGAATGGAAATACTGTACTGTTAGATTATAGAAGTTGTAGTCTAATAATAATGAACATTAAACAAATGTAGAATGGAGAAAGTACTGACAGTCATGGAATAGGACAAATCTGGTTTTCTCTGTTTTTGAAAGAATAACAGGACAACTTTGGAAAAGGGCAGGGTGTCACCTCTTATCAGTAAATGACAACAAGCCCACAGAAGTAACGGTCCAAGGTACCGGTCAACGCAGGATCTCGACTTAGCAATAAGTCACTAGATTCTGACAGGAGCTGCCAAGCGACAGAAGGCAACCCTCAACACTAGCAACTAATGAGCAAGTTGCTTAAACTAGAGGACCTTGGTACCATCCCGGGATACTGATAAAAAATAACCAGTCACTTAAAAGGAATGTACTAATGATCCCACACAACAAAATAACAAGCACCAGATACAGCCCTAAACTGATCAATCTCCTATCTTAGACAGGAAAAAGGGAAGACCTTGTGGAGACTCAGTCAGGCTGGCACTAAGCCAAATGATTGATTAACCCGAGTACATGACTGTATCAGAAGTGGGTAGAGGGGCCCTAGGAAGGACGAGGTGGTTGGTCGACAAACCACCGAATAAGGCGAGGTAAAATACAAGTGATTGGATATGTAAATACGGGATGTAATGGCAAGACAGGCGACTGACTATAAGTAGCCAAAAAAGAGAAGTGGAAAGCAGTCCGGAACGGCGCCAACAGACGGTGATGGAAGAACGAAAGCCTGAATAACTGAAGCAACTAAGAAAGAACCCTGTTCCGGACTCGCAGCACTCAGTCTAGCGGCGTTGACGGTTGACTGCTAAAATAAGCGCGCTTCAATGATATTTTTGTTTGATATAAACTTGGCTTAACAGATTTTACCTAAACGGAATGCTGGGTGACCTTTTTGATATCTAACAGTACAATCAAATTCAAAGAAAGTTCAGAACAGAAATGGAATTTCTAGCATCATTTTGATTTGTGAAATGGCTGGAGGAAACTATAAAATGTACAATCTTGGTATAGTTTTAATGCTATATTCGTGCAAGGGTACATCACTTAAGTTAAAGAATTAAGTCAGCTTTTTGTGAACAAAGATACTTCATTGTAGCACTGCTTCGAACATAAACGCTGAGACGTTAGATCCAGCTAATAGCGTTTTAACGGGAGTTGCTTGTTATATATACAAAAAAACACACAAAAATATATTTTTTATATCTAAAATATACACACACACACACATATAAATCAAATGCAGAGATACATCTACACAAATATAGTCAAGGCAGCCACAGGTACTGCTACAGAAATACAGGCAGAGGAAGGAGCCAATGTTTTTCACTTGCATACCTTTGATTGGTGAAATTTAGCCCAGCCCTCCTCAGTGGAACATGATGGCAGATATATCCTTCCAAAGAGGTTTGCTAATATCAGAACTAAGGTCTCCATCACTTCTTCAGAAAAGCGGGGTGCATCTGCCAAGAACATTATAAAAATAATGAATATTCTCACAGGCAAATAAATAAACCCCTTTATTCTCACTTTCAATACAGCGCGCAGGCAAACCCTACTGATTGTGGAAATCAACATCAGTCTTCTAAATTACAAACCCCATAAGGAATGTGAGGCTTGAAATTCCTCCTTTTAAAACCTTAGTGATGGGAGCTTAAGGCAAAATACAGGATTTCTTCACATTGATGGAATATTCTAAGTTGAACAACTAATGAGATCAATATCTTATTTCCAGTAACCTTGGGATTTGTTTCAAATATCAATTTTTAAGATGTGATATGCTGTACACTTAAATCCAAGTTACATTCAATAAATGGTTTGTGAGGGTATCCAATCCTGCTTTTCAACATTCCCCCCAAATGTTGCATCACTTATAATTGAGGACTACATGATTTTCATCAGCATCAGTTTCACATCAAATGGGATTTTATTCTTTATTAACTGAAACCGGCACAGACTACCTGGGCCAAATGGTGAGTTTTCAGAATGTATTTTTTTCATGAAACATCAATCCTTTGGGTGAAATCCCATGTTTTATGTTGTGAACAAGAAGGCCTTACCTTTTCCCGCTGATTCCTGTGGCTGGGAGCAGATCTTGTGAAATAGACCTTTTACCAGGAAGCTCACAAAGACAAAATTAGCCGGCTCATGATAATGTAAGTGGGTCACCAGTCCTGCAAATCCATGTGGTGTCCCTTCTTGATCCAGGAAACCCTATAAGAATCAAACTTACATATTACAAACATAATATTTTCTCCCATTTTCTCCTTTTCTCAATTGACTCACTTATGCTGGACACTTGAGCACTTATTCTCACTACTCTCATTATGTGAGCATGGACAGTATACTTTTGGACACCCCATTTGGTTGGGGAAGAAGCACCATTCAAGCCCAACCCTACTCCTCATCCAGTACTCACTTAGCAGTGAAAATATCAATTATAGGTACAGTTTCCACATTAGTCAAAGCAAACATAATACTGTAAATGTCTGATAACTCGACCCTGAATTCTCACAACCACTTAAGTCAGTCATCATGCTGTCACTATTCTAAGCACATTTATTTAGGTATTTATGCATATGCCTAACTCACTACTTGGGATAACTCATCACTGAGCCCTTTTCCATTGGAGGGATAAGTTATCAGGAATTCCTTGTGTTTATCAAGATCATCAATTCTTTTATCTGCGGTGACTGTCACACAAAAAGCAGGGAGACATTCTACTTTATTTGTATTATTTTAATCGAAAAAGAAAATAATCACCCTGGCCAACACAAACAACTTCCTGACACCTTGGGACTTCCAAATCCTCTAGGCTTTGGTCTCTCTGAGCAGCTCGTTCAGCAGCACATGGAGATAACGTCTGATTGGGAAACTGGCCAGAGAATAACTTTCTTTTCAGTGTATTTTGTTTGTATGTAAAGGACTGTCAAAAACGGAAATCCTCAACTTTAATCATTAATGAAAACAGGACCGTAATGGTTTTACACCATCCAGACAAACTATAGTGGTCTCATGTTGTTAGCTTGTTCAAATATCTCTATAATTGTTTTTATACATAAACCCAGGGCTGATTTTAAGTGAACTGAAATTCTAGTCTGCTTATCACTTAGCCGAGTGAAACTTGCTTGATTTTTGTCTGCCTTCCTTTGACAGGCAACTTCATCTCGCTCTTACCTCCTGGACAAGAAACTGTGTGCAGAACAGGAAGTACAGCTTCAACACCACCTGGTTCTTTGGCTGATTATAATACAACAGAGAATGTTGCAGCAAGGACAATGTCTAGGTAGAGAAAAGGAAAGTTTTTAAGATACCATTTAGTCTGGAAAATTGCACTCATTAAGACTATAATAGACTTAATGACAGAACATTATCCTGAACAGATGTGCCAGGCTTGGCAACATCTGCATAACAAGGAAGGATCTGTTCTGTGCAATGCTGCAGAAATACTGTGGCTAATCCTTCTCTGGGTCTGAAGGAACCAATACTTTGAAACTAAAAGTTAGTTGAGATATCATATCCCCCTCCACACATTTATGGGGTCATATTATTGTATAACTGGTGATCAAACTGGTGAGCCACTATGCCCACCCCGAACTCTTTAAAATGGTTTTGTTCACTCAATGCTTTTAAAACACTTTAAACCATTTCTTTGTAATCATGTCTATGGTCAAAACCCTTCAATTCCACCTCCTTGCTCAGGAATTCCCATAGTATTTCTGAGCTCTTCAAGACACCCAACCTACAGGAAGGGTTTTTTAAATCCAAATTGATGTTACATAGCAAGTTACTGCACACAAACAGGCCACTCCAACTAATCTGTGCCAGAGTTTGTATTCCACAAGAGGTTCCACCACTCCTAAACCCTTCTCTGATACAATTTACAAAACATTATATATTTAAATAAGGTCTTTCACATGAAGAAGACCTCTCAAAGTGCTTTATACTGCTGGCTCGGCCAGCCTATCTGTCCTCACTCTATCTAACTCCATCCCAAGTCCCCAAGATTCACCCTCTTTCCTTACCTCCAAGGTCTGCCTCAAGACTTTGACCAAGCCTTGGGTCATCTTTCCCCCCTGGCTCCCACTTCCAGCTTGAGTGCAAATCCTGGACTATCCAGCATCCCAAATAAAATTGATCACTTATTTCACTGTCTATTTGTGGCTCAACGCCATTTGGAAATTGGCTGCTGCTTTTGCCTACAAATATAGACACTATACTAAATTTGAGACGTTTTGACCATGTGATAAGGCTTGATATCAAATGCAAGGATTATCACACCACATGTTGGTAAATGCAACTGAAATGGCAGGGCTTTTCAGCGAAATTATATACCTTAGCTTGTGCATCCATCTTGTCATCAGCCATAGCCACCAACAGCATAAGCCGAAGTACAAGAGAAACGTTTATTGGGAACTGTCCCTTCAGTGTAGGCACACTTGCTTTCAGGAGCCTTTGTACTTTGGGCATTGGGATATTGTAGAAAAGTACATTACCAATCACATCCAAACCTCTTCTGCCAGCTCGTCCAGACATCTGCAAAGATAAACAGAGAAATACAGTGTCTGATGTGTGTACCATTAATTGTACATTTTTATAATATTTTCATTATTTCATTGATACTATTTAAGTTTTACTCTTCTCCCTGCACTATTTCTAACTGAATATGGATAGGCAAACACACCTATGCCAATTCCAATCTGTAACCAGTGATGAGGAAGTCACTAGTCACAAACACAAGAGCTGTCCTCCAGGTACCCGTTTTTCCCAGTGGGCAGTTTTACTTCTGCTCAAGACTTCACTAAGACACATCATCTCTCCTGAAACAGACTGGCAACAAGAACTAAATCCAGACAAAGCCAATTGGTGCAATGGTCTGTAACAATAGGACATGTTGGATAGGCTGTTGTGCACTGAAACCATTCCCTTACTGACTCGTTCAGCAGCCTTTCACTTTATGTTCACATCCCCGAGAGAGAACTTCAAACAAACACACACAATGAGATCCAATATCTGGCAAATTCTAATTAATTTGTTAAGAAAATCAGAAATACATCACATCGACTCATGGGAATGCCATTCCAAGTCAATCTACTGTCAGTGCAGAGCTCTCGAAAATTGGTGCAATGTATTTCCGGTTACCAGAGGACTCCCCACTCGGTTTTCTTATTGATGAAATGAACTCGAAACGGCCACATATTAGACTCCATTACTGTAAATACTGATCCCAATGTTAATACCTGTCTGTACTGCAAGGCATCCAGAAATACTGAATCATCCAGAAAGACCACAGTTTTGCACGGCATATTAATACCCAAAGCAAGAGATCCAGTCGCAGTCACCACCTGCAGAGGAAAATAATTTCAGTATGAGTTACATGTAATCTCAGTAAGAGTTCTCCTTAGTTTGAACATTAAAGGTGTGTGATTTTCAAGGTAAAATGCCCTGTACTACAGGATCCAAATATTTCAGATAAGTAATATCACAAAAGTTTATATATTTATTAAAAACTATTGAACCTTCAAAAAATTATATATGGCCAACCCAAGCCCTAAATTCCACCTGGTTTTAGCCTGCAAAGCCATCTTTTCTTAAATTTTACATGGTGCAGAAAAACTGTGCAAAATTCTTAGTTCAGTCTTGAATTAGTTTCTGCAGTTATATGCCTCCACAAATCTGTGCAATCTTAAATTATTAAAACAAAATGGTGTTTTGTTTTAACTGGGTCACAACACCAGATGTTTTCTACGTTAATAAAAGTAAACAGATCTGTAAACAAGGTCACTAACCCTGGCAAATCCAAGTCTGAAAAGCATCTCGACAGCTTGTCTTGCTTTGGTGTTGAGCGAACTGTGGTGGTAGCCAATTCCTCTCTCCAAATACGAACGCATGTGAGGAGCAGTGGTTACATACTGCAATCTGCGAAAGATTATCTGCAAAAGCTAAGAAGGGAAGGGGAAAATTAATCTAGGTTAGTGCCACTTGGAAATCATATATACCGTTAAACAGAGATCGAGCAACGCAGATCCAGGAAAAGGATCTTAAAAATGCAGCAAACTCTTACAACCTAACTCCAGACAAGGCAAAAAACAGGGGATTGCTACCAACACCAACAAGGACAACGGCGAGGAACAAGATTAAAGGTGAAAACAAAAGATTATCTAGTTTGTTAAGCCTGGCTGATGTTTTCTAACAAGCATTTTCCTTATGCTTTTATACCTTGGAATCTGCAGCAGTTTCTACAGCGTAAGTGCAGTCTTCCGGGATTTTATTCATCTCTTCAAGTCTATGCTGTAGTCTCTCTTGCTCAGTTTCATTGAGTACCATGTTGTCAGCCTTGCTGATGGATACCTTTGGCTCCCTGCAATTAGCAACATTGGTACAGGATACAATGGTTAAAATTCATGGACATAATAGAACAAGATTGATTCCAAACTACATTGTAAACTCCCTCAAGAGGCACCTCATACCTGCTGCAAATAATAACTGATCTGATAACAATTAGATGTAAAGGAAAATACTTATTTTCAGTAAACATTCATGATACATTAATTATTACTTCACTATTCGGTAACTTTTAAAGATCTAGCATCGCTCAATGGGAAGGGACGTGTGCCCAGACCTGCGGATAGAAAGATAATAATAATCCTTGCATTTGATATAGTGCTTTTAACATCTTCTAGACGTCTCAAAGGACTTCACAGAATATAATGTAAAGTGAATTGACTGTATTTGTGGGCGAAACGCAGCAGCCAATTGCTCACAGCAGTTTCCCACAAACAGTCTTGATTGAGTGACCAAATTATTATTGTTTTTTTAAAGGATTACTATTCCCGGAAAAGCAATCCGCCAATTGACTAACAACCGGGTTCCAACTTACTGCTAGGTAAAGAGGCATGGGAGTAAGGAAACTTGCCCAACATTTCGCCCTGCTGGGAATAAAACCAAGGTCTCTCGCTTACAAGGTGACTACTCTAACCACTGAGCTACAGGACTCCACGAGATGGTGGCAATGCTCTCACACATTTCATGCTGAGCTATTTTGCCCACCAGGAAGCTCGCAGGGAGTTCCTAGTACCTACCATCCACCTAGTCAGGGCTCACAACCGCACTTGTCGGACGTCAAACGACTAACCAATGACTACCCTCCTTGGGGGAGGGGAGGTAAGCGGGGTCTCCTTGGAGCTGAACTGGCTCTAAGGTAACATATATAGACAATAAAATATCAGAATCGAACCAGCCCTCTGGTGGTCTTGGTATTCTGGTTCCTAAGCCAGGCGGGTACGCAGTATTCCTGGGCACTGCTGATGACAGCACAGACAGCTTGTCTTAACGGCAGGATTTGGAAGGGCACACCAGTCGCTGGGGGCAGGGAGTCATCCCACTCTGCTCCTGTTAGCCCTGCAAGCCAAAACCCTAATGTGTAGGGTGGTCCGAGCTGGAACAGCTGCAGCAAAGCTTGCCACAGTGCTATGAGATTTTAGCTGGTTAGACTCCAGCAGTACCCAAACGCACATTCTGGGGTCCAGGAGCAGAAAATAGCTTATTCGCTATCTTCTGCTCGCGGGATTCAAATAATTACAAAGCCAGTAGCAGCATTTACTGACAGTAAAAAAAAGTCAGTAAATGCCAGCAGGGATTGTAGAGCATAGAGAAAGAGGATGGGAAGGAGGAAACAATCAAGATTCAAATCTACTCAACTGCCATAGAAATCAAGAAGAGTTTACTGGTGAGCAACAATACTATGTAATTTATATAAGAATAAACCTACTGATATTTTGGTACAAGAATACATCTTAAAAAAAACTTTATCTGAAATTGAAAAGCACAATATAATTTCACCAGATCTAATCTGAAGAGGAAAATATAGAGTTGCTGAGAATACTTACGAAGAAGGCTGCTTTTTGCCGACTCGCTTTGCTAGTTTTCGAAGCTTGTTCTCAAGTTCATTTCTCTTTTTCTCATCATCTGGTTTCCGCTTCAACCTCTCCTTCTCAGTCGCATGGACGAACACCGCTTTCGCCAAGCGCTCGACCGTGGAAATGCTAAATCTACAAGAAGATAACTGAACTCAACAATTTTGCAATCATACAGCACCTTTCACATCAGGAGCACGTCAGTAGAATGGCTGAAAGCTCAACCACCAATAGTGGGGCAGTGACATGAAGCAGGTGAGTGCTCACTGAGCAGTGGGAGCAGCTGGGGCGGTACGGGAGCAAATTCCATAAAAACAGCAGACCAATATACTGGTAATATGTACGCGACCTTAACAAAAAAGCGGGGGAGATCTTCTGTCTGCCCCTACCCTCTGGAACTCCATTCCAGAGTCGCTTCGCCTCGCCCCTTCCCTAGTTCAAGCCCAATCTCAAGACCTTCCTCTTTGACCGTGCCTTCGGCCATCCTCCCAACTCCCCACCCCACCCCCCCACCCCTCTTGATTCTAACCCCCAGCTCAAGTGCAAACCCTTCACTGTCCAGCGCCTTGGGACATCCTCCCAACGGGAAAAGCGCGATATAAATGCAGTTTGTTGTTGTTCCTCGTCCCCTCTCCCTTCACAAATCTTCAATGATTAAATAATCATTTAATTATTTCCACACTAACCTTTTATTTTACAGGGGACATATTTCGAAAAACTCATATTTCCATTTTTATGAAAATTAACAAGTGCACTTTTGTTCTGGTGACATTGTGATAAACTTGCTAGATGTCGATGGCAGATACTTCAGCAGTTTCAGAACTCAGTACCAGCAGCAAACACGTGCTTACAAACAACCTCAGAAGACCTCCACTATAACATCCACTCAGTGCCAGCAACAAACACCAACTAGCCTCCTGTATCATTGTGCACTTTATATAGATAACTTTGTGGTGTATTGTACACAGAGAGCAGCATGCTTGTGCACAAGTCACTGAGTAGCAATGATCCAACGCTGGCAAATTTAGCTTCTCATCTGCTAAACATTGCCAACTTCTGGGTATGTCTGCCGTTGATATTCCCTGCTTTTTGCATACATAGTGCACAGGAAGCAAGGTTCCAATGACCCAGGTCGGCTTGTTTAAGTGTGAAAAGGACCTGCAGCCACACACACACGCGCGCACACAGTGAAACTTGGTATAGCGCTGATTGAGATATATGGATCCTGACCGCTACGTCACAACAAAGCTCCACTGCAGTTTGCAACAACAACTTTTATTTAGCACCCTTTATGCGGGGTAGCATTTTGGAGTACTTAACAATACCACAGCCTGACGAGGAGCTGGAATGGTGACTATAAGCACGGTTGAAGAGGAAGGTTTTCAGTCGTGATCTGAAAATGGGGACGGTGAGGGCAACGTGGAGGGATTGAGGAAGAGAGTTCTAAAGTTTGGGGCATGGTGGCTGAAAACATGATCACCGATGGTGGAGTGAAGGGGACGAGGGACAGGCAGGAGTCTGGAGACAGATGTGCGGAGGTGGAGGGTGGTGGAGTGGGGAGTAAGCAGGTCAGAAAGGTAGGGAGGTTCCACGTGGATTGTGGAGGGGAATTGGCTTGATGGCCACCCTTTTTCATTCCATGATGCAAATTTTTATTAAAAACCTGAAAAGAATTGAATTTATATTAAAAAGAGACACTTACGAGAAGAACAAAGCTGGCAATCTATCCATTTTCCTTAAGGAATCCACCATCAGTGGAAAATGAGTCACCATGTTTTTGTCTGAAATTCTATTCTTTTTCGGCTTCAGCTTGTTTAACACCTCTGCAACCTTAAAGTTGTGATTATAAAAGAATATTTGTGAAATTATTCATGTACTGTACACTGCATTAAAAAGCCCCTCATCACACACCATTCAGATCATTACGTTTCTACCTGGTAAAAGTCATGTTATTTTAATAATGAAACTTCATATTCAAATATAGCCAGTTATAATGCTTTGTATACCTATATTGTTATATATTGTATACCCCAACTCTGTCATACATGAAGATGAACAGCAAATCCAAACGCAAGCTTCTGAAATTATCTGAATTTTGAAAGTTTAATTTGTTCAAATCTGACTTCAATTGCAAAAGGAGCAGACATTGAAAGGATAAATTGACATGATGCTTTTTTTTCCTGAGCACCTGACAAATGTGCATCCAAAGTAAGGGGCTTCTTCTCAATTAAGAAAATAATCCTTGCATTTGCTATAAAAATGCCTACAACAAAAAGAAAGTCTCAAAGAGCATTACAATGTTCCTGTAAAGTGTGTATTTGAAGGTGAACATGCCAGCCAATTTGCACACAGCAATGTCCCACAAACAGCCAGGAAGTGAATGTTCAGTAGAGGACTATTGACTGGAACACCAGGAGAAACTCCCTTATGGTTTGAAAAGTGCCATGGGATCTTTAACATTCAGATGTAAGAGCACAAGGAACATCGGCTTAATGTGCTTCATCCAAATGACTTCCAAAAATGCAGATTGCACTGGAGGGTCAGCCTAAATTAGGAGCTCAAAATTGAAGGAGCGGTAATGGAGGCTGTCCTGTACCCACAGAACCATAGTGCTTTCAGACAAGAAGGGCTATATACGTTTCACCTACACCATTCAACACTAAAATCAGTGAGAAAAGAGGCAATGCTATTTGACCTCTGCTCATCTGCAACCATTTTTACGAAGACTTAAGAGTCAGTCTCGGTTTATCAGTCAATTTACCAACCTTGGTGAGCGGATGCATCCGATTTTCCTCGGGTACATTTCAACCAAACAGCAGAGTATCAAAAGCAGGGACAGGCACAAAGAACAATTACTGACTATAGGAGCATCATCCTCCTTAGACAATGAATGCATTCATGCTAAACAACTTTCAAATCAGTTCTTTCCTAGTTTAATCTTTAGGCCCCAGTGGCTCAAAGACTATGTAATAATTAGTTGTAGGCAAGCAGCAATCGAATAGCATTGCTCCCTCCCCCACTAGAACCTGATTTTAAACAGAAAGCCATCGGTGCAGTTTAAGGACCTACCTGCTCCTTCTGGCCGTTTTTGATCCAGTTCAGAAATTCCCTTTTGAGTTCAGCCTCATATTTCCTCACGTCACCCTTTTTAATCACGATTTTATCCTTGAAAAGCTTGTACCTTTCGGGACAGAATTCCTGTTTGTAAAAGAAAAGGGAATCAGCATGAAGGCTTATCTATGAGATTTCCAGACACCTGTAATGATTTGAATATTTATTGAATACATGTGAATAATTATTGTAATAGTACCTGTGCCCGAGGCCATGCTGGCCATATTTGAACCATGGTGTCATACAATCGGAGGGATTCCGGTGGAGAGAGTGCGAGGTCTGATGGAAACCCGTACTTCTCAATCTAGAAAACAGATAAAACAAAGTCAATACAGGGAACTCCTGATAATAAGACCTTGGCTTCATTTTATAGACACATTTGTCAAAGCATAAGCTTATGCTGCATTTATACTGAATGTAAATGAGTTGTGGGAGCCGGAGATGCTCTATCACACTGATAGCTGCTTGCTCTGTGTAGGCAGTGTGTGTTGGTCGTCCTAGCCACCACACCCCCTAGTGGCCCATGTCTACGTGGACATCCCAGATATAGTCACTGAGCACTTTTCCCTTGGAGCGAGCAATGATACATCAGGAGTTTATTGTAGTTACATTTATAATAACAGCATTGTGATAACAGCTGCATTTGATATCGCATCTTTCACATTGGGCGGACATTTCTATAGCTTCACAGGATATACTGTAAAGTGTTGTGACTATTTATAGGAAAGCGCATCTACTGTGGGATCTTTGACGTGGTATTGTGTGGGTGAACGTTTAAAGGTGAAGTACAGGAATTGAGATTACTTCAGTTTGTCTTCACCAGAAGCGGATATAAATGGTCTGCCCTTGTGGTTTTTCAGCATTCAGACAGCAAAATCATCATAGTTGAGGTTTGTACAATTAAGACTGTGGCCACACCAATGGTCATCAAATTAATCAATTTTAAAAAAAATATAGGTTTCTGTTCATTGTTGCTGACCTGTGCATGTTAAATATGCAATTCTTTAAGTGAATGCAAGCAAACATCAGTTTGAGGAGCTCTTTAGCTTAAGCCCTGTTTGTCTTACAACATTACCTCAGGCAGGCTGCAGTCTGATTTTGGAAACAGTGCTGCAAGTCAGACAAGGTGGTGAGCCTGCCTCTGGAGAAAGCTACAACCACATCCTGACATAAACCTTCATCATCTGGTAACAACAGCAACAAAACTCTAGAGGTAAAGCAGAAACCTAAATTGCTCTATCAGATTGGTTTCTGCTCAGGGGGGAGCGAGCAGAGTTATCAGTCTGTCATGACAAGCCTGCCATGTAGTTTAGCATTGGGACGTCCTCCCGAAGTGAAAGGCGCCATTCAAATGTAATTTGTATTGTGTTGGTCGTCTGTTCACAATCTTTCCCACAAATTAAGGAAAATTAAAATACTATTTGTGCCATTGCTTCAATGTTGACCGCTGCGGTATCTGCAAATAATGATCTCATTTGATATAGCGCGGTATCAAGTCATTGAATAGTCTCAAACCACTTCACAGAACACATTGTAAAGTGGAAATGACTACAATTTTGGGCGAAACACGGAAGCCAACTACTCACAGTAAGCAATGTTTTTTTTTTGAGGGGAGGGGGTGATGCTGGGGGGGATTATTTCCCCAGAAAACGCTGCAGGGCTCCTTGTACCTCTCAAAGTAAAAAGATTAAATTTCCGGTACCTAAAGGTGCAAGTTACTTAAAAATGTGCTCAATTGGAACATTGGTCTACAATGGCACTGATGGCACTTCAGGTCGGAACACTGAGAACTAAGCTAGATTTAACTTTAACATTTAACAAAAACATTTTTCAAATTCATTCATTCAATTTGGAAGTTGTTTTCCGTAGTTCTTAAAAAGAACCAGCTCCCGTTAGAAAAACAAATTTAAGAACCTTCTATAATTCTGCACGATTTAAGAAATCAATTTAAAGATAAATTAAAGATAAGACTAAAACTAGGTGGAATTTTGAGCATTATGGGAAAGCCAGAAAAAAGTGCACATCGTACATGGAAAAATACAGTAAATCTCTTATAAACATTACTTTCTATCAGTAAATCGACTGAAATTTAACAGGAGAGTATAGTGGCACTCATAGAATGCAAGGCCAGTAATCACACCTGCGTGAGGTCGTCTCAGGTGCATCACTGAGTGAAAATTTCTCGTTTTACTCAACAATGAAAAAAAAGGCTGCAGGGTAAGATGGATTGGGTTACTTTTACCCATCTCCTCCAGTTCTATTGTACTGTTGGCAGAGGAATGGCTAGTGGCATGATTCATCCTCGTTTAGCTAGCATAGTGTGTGGCACAGCCATCGCCAAGAATGTCAGCTTCACTTATAATAATACATTATCGATGCATTTACAACCTAGTCATAAATGCAAGAAATTCCTAGCCAAGGTTTTGTTTGCAGAATTCTCCTTGAAACACAAGCAACACTTACATGCTGTAGAGTTAAAGCAGCACATGGGTGATATGAAGCAAAGTCAACCCCATCAGTCTGAAAATCACAGACATACTTTTCCAGGTCATTGTATCGTTCTCCGTAGGTCACTAGAAAAAAAAATGAAAGTTTGATGTACTGCAGTAGCCTGGCAATGACAGTGATTAGTAATAGATAGGATAAGAAGGTTACAGCACACAAGGCGGCCATTCAGCCCATCAAATACGCACTGGCTCTCGGAGCAAGCTGTAGTTTCAAACCTAGTCTGCCCCATCTCCATGCCCTTCAAGCAAAATCAGAATCACAGGTTGGAATAAAACATACAGGGGTTTGCTTTTACCAGAGACAGGATTCCAGAGATTACTGCTATACATTATATGATAAAATGGTATTATAGCAATCAATGGGTGTTTAGCCACTCTGTAAATGATACCATACCTAGTCTGACTTTGTAGGACCTCTGGTCTTTGGGCATTTTCATCTGTTTCCTTTTGCTGCCAACAAACTTCACAGGGTTTTGCAAAGCCTTCTCAGCTTTCTCCCAGTAATGCTTCACTGACTGAAGCCACCTATTGGGGGGAAAAAAGTATTTGATTACTTTTCAGCATAGAAATATTGGAGCAACACAAGCTTTCCCCACCCCCACCACACATTGCTATTTCTTCACAATTACACCACCAGTATCTTTAAATGAAACTTAACTTTGCTGTGTTGGTAGCATGCTTAACTCTGAGGAAGAGGATTTGGGATTCAAGCCTCAGATCAGGACTGAAGTTCAATCTAAGCTGATGCTGCAGCATAATATTGGGGGGATGGGGGGAGATCTGCATTGTCAGATGTGCCATCTTTTTGATGAGATGTCTAACAAAGATCCTTGATCAATACAGGTGGACATTAAAGATCCTATTCCATCATTTGAAAAGTGTTTCTTTCGGTGTTCTCATCAACAATCCTCCAGATTAAATTGATCATTCACTGCAAGGCCGATTATGGGACATTGCAAATGCAAAATGATTGCCACAAATGCTACAAAACACCACTTCACTTGACACCAATTAATATAAAGTACTGCCAACAGTTCAGTGTAATCAGATTGCATGTTTGTGTTAGTTTATTACATATAATATACATAATAGGCTTCAGAAAAGGAAGAAAAAAAAAGGACATCCTGACTGGCAATATTATGCACTTGAAAGGACAAGGTTCTTACCAGCTACTCTCCACTCAGCTGCTCCTAACCATGACCATCTTTCAACGCAAATATATATTTTTAATTAATAATCCTTGCATTTGATATCGTGCCTTATCATGTTTTCAAGATGTCTCAAAGCGCTTCACAGAATATATTATAAAGTGAATTGACTCTATTCTGTGGGCGAAACGTGGCAGCCAATTGTGCGCAGCAGTGTCCCAGAAACAGCCCTTTGGTCAATGCACCTAATTTTTCTCAACTGAGATGGGAGAACTTCACCCCCTCCCTTCCTGTTTATCTTTCCATCGATCAGAAGAGCAAAGGTGACATGATAGGAGGGACGTGATAGGAGAGCCGCAGCATTCCCCATTCACCACCTAATTGGAAAGGGAGTTGGGTGATTCAAAACTAATCTCCACAACCTGCCACTGGATGAGCATTTAAAACACGGGAACAAAAGATGACTTAGATGACTCATCCTCGGCCATTCACGGCCTTGCTCCCTCCTACCTCTCCGACCTACTATCCCCCTACCTACCTGCCCGTATCCTCCGTTCCTCTGGCTCCGGTCTGCTCCACATCCCCCGCCCCAACCGCCCTACCATCGGTGGCCGGGTCTTCAGCCTCTCAACCCCTAGGCTTTGGAACTCTATCCCCCAGTGCCTTCGCCTTACCTCATCCCTTTCCTCCTTCAAGGCCAGTCTCAAGACCTTTCTCTTTGACCTTACCTTCAGCTCCCCTCTCGACTCTCTACCCCCTCCTCGTTCCCTCCCTTCCCTCCCCTCACCCTGACCATTTCCTCCTTGCTCGGGTCCTGACCCAACTGTACAGCGCCTTGGGACGTCCTCCCGACGTGAAAGGCGCTCAATAAATGGAATCTTGTTGTTGTTGTTGTTGTTGTAGAGGCACCAGTGAGAATAATCCCTCATGTGGCTAATCAGGATGTTTCTCATTGGGTTCTGGCCAACAATCCCCCCAGATAAAATTGGTCACTCACTTCATGGCTGTTTGGGGACACTAATGTGCACAAATTGGCTGCCGCATTCAGCTATAAATTAGAGTCACTACACTTTACAGTAAATCCTACAAAGTGCTTTGAGAATTCCACCGAACGTGAAAGGCGGAAAAACAAATGCAAGGATTATGAGGAATAAAGCACACGTTAATTTGTTAAACCAGCACAATGTGCTTATTACAAATAATATCAAGAAGAGGAAAAACAGCAGTATATTACTGGGCGAGATCCTCTGGGTTGCCAATGGTGGCTGAGAGAGCCAAAAATGGGCAACGAATCATTACGAGAAGATGTTCCCAGACTTCTGCACCAATCTCTCCACCAAGGCAGTGGACCTAAAGAACACATGAAAGACACACTCAATTTGACATTTCAACTTCACACAGAAGTAACCAAGCATAAGAACTTTCAAAGTGAATTGATTTTCTGTTATTTCAGCTGCAACCTACTAGGCTGAATTTCAAAAGGGAAAAACAAAAACCAAGGTAGCTCAGGATGCTGTAAATTAAAGCATGATGAGGAGAAATGAGATTTGCCTGGAGTACTGAACTCAGTTCAGAAAACCAGCATTTCATGGTTATATAATATACCCCCATCCCTCCATTTTCAGCAAGGTTTTTTTGAAAAGAAGTGGACACATGGGTGCATTTCCAGACAAAGTTTGAGGATAAAATCATATTCCGGAACACTCCTTTAGTATTTAGACAACACACACAGGATATCCATGAACAAGAATGACTTTTAATTTCTAAAGTTTATCTAATACTTTGGAGAGCCTGGTATTCACACTAATTGGACTATCCCAATTGTGGATACGGAAAAAGCACAGATAATGGGTCAGCTATACATCTTAGTTTCAGACTATGTGATTTTTTGCATTAGTAACATATCAATCTTCATTTAGTTCCAGGTCAGTTTCTTACCTCATCAAAGATCACATATCTAATCTTCTTCACCCAAGCTTGCCGCTGAGGAGCGAGCATGAGGATTTCTAAACACTGAGGAACGGTGATGAGAATCTGAAAGATAAAAAATGCACAATGGAATGATGCGCTGGGGGTAGGAGGATGGGGTCATCAAAACCAAAACTGGTTGATTTTTTCTTCATCAAGGGGAAAATTCTCTCAAGTAAATTTTCCAACCGTGGTATCTGATGGTTCGATCAGTAAATGTACCCAGTTTGGTAGTGTGAACTATTATAAAAGGAAAATCCCTTTATAAGGTTATTCAGTGAATAAATAATAAATAATCTGAGAATCATCCCCTGCAAAAGACCCCTATGTCAGACTAAATTCTGAATTTCCTGTTCCTGACCTAGGCAGGTGCTCAGTATTCCAAGCTCCATTGATATGTAACGTATTAGCTTGTCAGCAGGGTTTGGAGGAGCTGACTCGGCCCGAGGAAATGGAATTCTTCCTGCCCTGTAACTAGCACTTTACAGCATTAGACGAAAAGGATATGTATCTCCGGGGAGTGTACACTTGATTCCAGACAAATGGAATGTTTTTATGCCTTTGCGCAATTCAAGTTTGATTTAGCTACTTTTAACCATGATGATGCATTTACAAATGTACTGAACACTGGGATGATCAAATGAAAAGATAAATTCTGTACAAAGTAATCATTTATACAGACTGGTCATTTTTTAATTATAAACTAAATGGAATACCTGAGAGTTTAAAGCATCCTGGCGATAGTCTCGAGTGAAGACACCACACACAACCATTCCATCTGGCAAGGCCTTGTTAAATCTGTTATAGACTGTTGCTATCACTTGGTTCACAAGAGCCTAGACAAAAACAATCAAGTTAGTTTATTAACATTATAAAAATGGAGAGCTCATCCGCATACCTCTACCCGTAGTGAAAATCACATCAAAGACTGAAACGAGCATTATGTATTGATACGCTTTTTGACAGAACAACTTCTTAAGATTTGTAAACTGGCTGAACACACGCAAGTCTTTGGATTCGTGACAGTAATTGTTCTTGCTGATTACCTGGTAGTCTACTGCAGATGTTCACCAGCTTTTTTAAAAGCATTATACAGCAACATTCACTTTAAAAAAAGTAAAATGTATATAACCAGGCAACAGTGGACACAGAAGCGATGAACTTTACTTCCCAATAGATGCGGTGGAATAGATGGGTCTTCAGGAGAAAGCAGTCACAGAAGCAGTGTTTCGGGAAGAACATCAGGTACAGGGATACGATGACTTGAATAGCTACGTAATGTAAAATTATATCCCACCCCAACCCTATCCACCCACCAGTTGAGACTCCTTTGTTCTTTTATGGCTCATGTACGAAACAATACCATGACACAAAACTTATGGGTCATTCATCAAGGTTAGAATTTCAATTAAAATCCCTTAAACAAATCTGTAAGTTTGAACTGCAGTGAAAATTACGTTCAATCAACTGGAGGTATAAGGGTCAGGATCATTTTATAACATGTCACTTATAGTTGCTAATAAGGATTAGTCATCTATGGTATCATGTGCTGCTCAAGAGCTTTCTGTGAGTGTTTCCCTGCATGGAAAGCTGGGATAGTCCAGAGCTCATTGAATCTGTGGTAAACGTGAGTTTGTATCACTGGCTAAAATATATTGTTCCACAATAATTACATTTTGCTGGGAAGGTAGATGGAGCTACTCCAGGTTCAAATAGTTTAACTTTTGTATTTCTTGCAGCATCGAGATCTAATTGTCAGTGTTAAAATTCAGAGGAATAAAATTCCTCTCCCTGGGTCTGGACTTGCATTAAATTGCTCTTAGCATTTGAGTCTGCAGAATATGGAAATTTCTTTACTGCAATCTTAATATTGTTTATTTTAAGAACTGTAAAAAAAAGTTTTCAGAATTAAGAACATATTAAATTTTGCTCTGAAACGCTAACAAAATTGTATAAGTCTGGACCAAATGGTATTTCAAACCCTAAACCAAACTGAGGGAACTACATTCACATTATTGACTTTCAAGGTTATGCAACAACTAAAACATTCCTTATATCAGAAGAAACTCTCTTAATATCATTCTCTCAATAGGTTGATACCTATAAATAGAACAGTGACACACCAAGAGGTCACATAAACAAACAGTACCTTTGTAGGTGCAACATACACCAATACTCCATCATCACTGTCTTTAAGAACTTTCTCCATACAGTAATAGGAGGCATAGGTCTTTCCAGAGGAGGTTGGAGCAACTATCACTGCAGATTCATTATTGTCAACCGCATCCAGCAATTCTCTCTGAAATCAGAGAGCAAAATGTAATCACTCGTGGTATTGAAGAGATGACACAAAAATGCATATCCAAAGAATAGTTCTAAAATTAGATGGAGGGGCGGGGGGAATTATTTTCCCTGGTGGGTAAATTTATTGACCTTCATCAGTGAGATTACACCACTGTTCATTTCCCAAACGATTTATCTATCTTTAGCAGGGTCCACCTCTACACAAAACATTACAGCATGGAAATGTGGCATTCGGCCTAACTAGTCCATGCAGTATTATTCCCTACACAAGCCTTGATAATAATAATAATAATCCTTGCATTTGAGCTTTTCACGTCTTCTAGATGTCCCAAAGCGCTTCACAGAATATACTGTAAAGTGAATTGACTGTATATTTGTGGGCGAACGCGGCAGCCAATTGCGCACAGCAATGTCTCACAAACAGTCGTGGATTGAAAATGACCAATTTATTATTGTTTTTTGTTTTGAAGGGATTATTATTAGGCTCTGTGTGGAGTAAGGAAACTTGCCCAAGGTTTCGCCCTCTGCCTGGAATTGAACTCAGGTCTCTCGCTTGCAAAGCGAGTGCTCTAACCACTGAGCTACAGATCACTCCTCATCTCCTTTTACATAACCCTCTATTCTCTTAGAAGTGTGAAAGGTTTGTAAATGTATCACCAAGCGAAGACCAAAAACTATGCACTTAATACTGAAAGTTAATGTTCTTCCAATCTAATGCCTAAAGCCTAAACGCACAAGATTTGACGATAACAGAAAATTATAAGTTGACTTACAAATCTAATCTTGTACTGAAAAGTTTTTATTTATTTATATTTATTTATTTATTTATTATTTTTACACCTTTTACAAAATTCATATAGTTAGAAAATAATATCAGAATGTTTCTATTCCACAATCTTACCTGCCATGTATCTGGTATAAAATGAGTGATTCGAGGATCTGGATCACTTCTTTCTTCTCTGATTAAATAAGGACCCATGTAAGTGAGCTGGAAACGGGCAGATTCAACACCAACTTCACAGCTGTTCTTTTTTGTAGCCTTTGACTTCAAAGGTTTCTATTTTTCAAAACAAAAAGACAATTATTTACTGAACTTTACTGAACAGAAAAATGGAGTGAAATTGTTTTGAGGAGAATGGTTAATAATAATCCTTGCATTTAATATAGCTCCTTACCAGCTCTTCGAGACGTCTCAAAGCACTTGACAGAATATACTGTAAAGTGAATTGACTGTACATTTTGTGGGCGAAGCACAGAGAGTATATCAACAGTGGCATTTACCTTCATTAAAACAAACTGGACTGAAATTTGTGTCACATTTGAAGAACATCCCTAAACAAGGGCTCTAACACCAAGTAGATCCGATAACCGCAGCAGCCCGTTGGAAACTGACCATGAATGTCTGGAACCAGGTTGACCCAGGATACTCTCCACAGTGGACAAACCTGCCAACACTCACTGAAAGCAACCTGTATAAATCACCTTTTTGTGATTTACCAATGGAATCCCTGAAAGGGAATGGATCAGCTCAGGGAATACCTCTCCAATGATTGCAGTGCCACTGGCAGTAGTTCTACAGACTGGAGACCCTGCCCCCACTAGTAAAGGATGCAACAGACAGACACCAGTTGCTAAAACAGAAATAAAACAAGAGAGTAAAACCATCTCAACAGAATCAATGAAAAGAATGTTTTACCTGATCAAAGTCTGGGATGGTCTGCGCTAAGTTGTTAAGTCCAAGTTCTTTGAGGTAGGCAGAAATCTGCTTCAGTTGATTTTTCTCCAGCATTTTCTCGTATTTGTCCATAATATTCTGAATCCGTTTCAACACCTCAACCGCCATCTTATTATTTCTCTTTGCAGTTTCTGCAAATGGGATGACAAAAATGGGCGCCTTTCATTTTCAGTGTTTGGTTCGTATCTGTCAAACGCTTCATTTAACTTAAGTGTCCCACTCTTCCATATGGACGCAGAATCCATTCTCTGCTGCTGGTTTGCTTATGATCCTGAATCAGCCAGATCGTGAGGATGTATACGAGGTTTGGTTTAAGAAGCTTTTACATCAATTTCACTGTTTGTTTGGGATTTACATTTGTAATGGGATGGGGGATAGGAAGAAGAGATTTCAGTGGGCAAGGTGCAGCACTGACAGTCCAGAAGGTTGCAAGGAAGAAGGGATTTGAAATCACGTAAAACAAATCAGGTAACTGAATCCTCACAAAATATTTTGCTGCTCGTCTCCACAGACAATTTACATTTATTTAGTGTCTTTCAGCTCAGGGGGACTTCTTAAAGTGCTTTGCAATGGGCACCTGAATTGGGGGGAAGCTGAAGAGAATGGGGAAGGGAAAGCGCGGTCAAAGAGGCAAGTCTTGAGGCAGGCTTTGTACATGGGGGATGGAGGGAGCATTGCACTTGTAGAACGGACCCCAATAGAATGGAAATAAACACTTTGCGGGGAGAGGGAAAGAACTTACTATCCTTTTATTGGTTCAAACTCTCTTTTCCTGCAACCCTCCCCCACCACCAAACACAGGAAGTGAGATCTACAAACAAATGAGATATTAATCTCCATCGAGCGATCATGACTGGCTGAGTCAGATTTGCTGAGTGGGCAACGGCAGTGGGCAAGGTGCAGCAATGACAGTCCAGAAGGTTGCAAGTTTTAACTCCTGGTCTGGACTGAATTAGGTGATCACAACCACAAAGTAGCAATTGGGTTTGAACAACTGCCCTTAAATCCTAAGAAAAAAAATCAACCAGCAATGTTTGGCAAGATCAGAGGCAGGCTTGGATTTGATAATAATAATAATCCTTGCATTTGATATAGCGCTTTTCACATCTTCTAGACGTCTCAAAGCGCTTCACAGAATAGAATGTAAAATGAATTGACTGAATATTTGTGGGCGAAATGCGGCAGCCAATTGTGCACAGCAGTGTCCCACAAACAGTTGTGGATTGAAATGACCAATTTTTTTTAAGGGCTATTATCAGGCTTTTTAATAATTTTTAATAAGAGACAATAATAATAAATAGTAAGAAATAAATAATAAAAATATTAATAAAATCTGGGCGTTTGAAAAATTTTCATCACTTTGAAAAATGTGTGTGTGGGGGGGGATACAAATGTTGCAATTGCTCAAATAAAATCCATACATTGAAAAAGTTCTGCCTCATCAAAAAATAAACTTATTCAGTATCTGTGAATAAACGCCTGAAGGTGCTTACTGAGTATACCTGTTTCAATCTTATATTTAAACTTCTGCTAGGAACTATTTGCCAAAACCAATACAGTCAATAAATTAAATCTGACTCCATGATTAGTAGCAGAGTAAAACTAAGTGAATATGAGCTGTCAGTTTGGCTGTCACTATAATCTGCCAACCGTCACCATCAACGTTCATACATAAATAATGGATACTTAGACAAGGTAGGCAAGGGCACCTTGGACCAGAGGAACTGCTGTATGCAGCCTGGCTCCACGGTAACCCTCTTGCCTCCGCGTCAGAAGGTTGTGGGTTCAAGTTCCACGTCGGTACTTGAACTCACGTAGTCTAAGCTGACACTCCAATGCAGTGCTGGGCTATGTGGCATTGTTGGAGGTGCCGTACTTCAGATGAGAAGTTAAATCCCATCTGCCTGTTCAGGTGGACATTAAGGATCCCACAGAATTATTCGAAGAGGACAACATGACTCTCGGTATCCAGGCCAATAATTCCCAAAATTAAAGTTGGTCATTTTTTCATGGTTGTTTGTGGGACATTGGTGTGCGCAAATTGGCTGCTGCGTTCGAGACACTCCACTTCACAGTAAGCGAAGTATACACCACTTAATAAATCCTGTGAGGCGCTTTGGGACATCCTCCAGATGTGAAAGACGCTATACCAAATGCAAGTATTATTATTATTATTGTATTCCAGCAAAAAGGATATAAAACGCCTCAAAACAACAATAACAAAATTACATTTATAGAGCACCTTTCACGTCGGGAGGACGTCCCAAAGCGCTGGACAGTCAGGTGTCGGGGCCCGAGCATGGGGGAGGGGTGGTATAGGGGTGAGGGAAGGCAGAGAGGTGGGAGGGAGACCAAAGGCACGGTCAAAGAGAAGGGTCTTGAGACTGGCCTTGAAGGAGGCAAGGGAGGAAGCGAGGCAAAGGGACTGTGGGATGGTCCCAAAACACCTTTGGGGCACGGAGAAGAAAAGTTTTAAAAAGCTACACAGAGTAAGTATTTGTCCACACCTGTAGTTTGGCAATGGTCTACCCAGAGTATGAAGCAGCTGTCTAGCACATCCATCTCGGCGATCAGCTTCACAGTATCCCCGGAGCATTTCTTCAGAAACTCGTCCAACTTTTTAACTCCATAGTCAAAATTCTCAAAGATTTCTTTAGTAATATTCCTGGAAATTAAATTCCACTGGTCCCTAAGTTTAAGGTCCTCCTTCTCCTGTTTTTTCTTTATGTTTTCTTCAGCAATTATGTCAGCTTTCTTCTTGGGCTGTTAAAAGAAAATATTAATGACCCAAGTGACTGATGAAGTGGGAACACATGAAATCGTGGACATTGGGAGAACAAGAAAGTGCCACAATGATCCCAAATGAAAGTACAGGATTTAATGGACGAAATGTAAAGCAAGTAATGCTAACACAACTAGCCCAAGTGAAGGTAATGAATTCAAGATTTAATGGAAGAACCATAAACAACTTGCACTTATATAGCAACCTTCACAGCGAGTAGGGAGTGTTTAACAGTACCGGAGTTTGACAACAACAAATTACATTTGTATAACGCCTTTCATGTCGGATGTCCCATGGTACTGGACAGTCAGGGAATTGGACCCGAGCAGGGGATTAGGATCAGGGGGGGTGAAAGGCATGGATAGGAGGGAGGCAGAATGCATGGTCAAAGAGGAGGATCTTGAAACATGCCCTGAAGGAGGCGAGGGAGGGAGCAAGATAATAATAATAATCCTTGCATTTGATATAGCGCTTTTCATGTCTTCTAGACGTCTCAAAGCGCTTCACAGAATATGCTGTAAAATGAATTGATTGTATATTTGTGGGCGAAACGTGATTTTTGAAAAAGATGAAGGGACTGCAGATGGAATTCCAAAGGGTGGGGGCAGAGAAGCTGAAGGCTCAACCGCCGATGGTGGGGCAGGCCAGGCAGGGGCATGGAGCAGGCCGGAGCATGCTGATCGGAGGGAGCTGGGGAGATGGGAGGGGGGTGACTGTAGATAGGGTGGAAGAGGAACGTCTTCAAGTGCAATCTGAAGACAAGCAAGGTAAAGGAATTGAGGCAGGGTGTTCCAGTATGATGAACTTGAATAAAGTGGGCAATGACTTTCAAAAACGTTTACCCTGAAGAACCACTGTTTGGTTATTATAGAAAAATACTATATATAATAAAAATTAAAAAATGAACTCACAGGTAATTTTTTGCTTTTTCCAGCTGACACATTGGACGACTGCTTCTTTGGTGCCACAATCCCCTGCTCAGTGGTGACAATATTTTTTGTAATGTTGCCCTCCAGTGTTGATCCGTACAACCTATGGAATCGCACAAGCTTCTGATAATTTCTCAGCATTTGTTTTCTCACCTCGGGGTCATTGGATTTTTCTCCTGCACAAATATTAAGGGATAAAGATGGAGCAAAATGACAGCAGTAATAAATACATTTAAGCATAGGAGCCTCAGACGACACCATTTGACTTTGATGCAAAGGTTGTATCAAAGTACCCTGGGAATATCAAGCAGGAATTTAAGAACTTCCTTGGAAGAAACTAATTTGGAATGTTTTTGACATGCTTCTGTCAAAGAAAAGCAAAGAACACATCCAATAAAGATATTTATCAATAGGGAGGTTAGGAGAAATGTTTTCACGCACAGAATAGTTCGGATCTGGAATACCATGCCGGGAGGGGTGGTTCAGGCAGAGTACCTATTAGCCTTCATGAGGGAACAAGATAAATACCTTTAAAATGAGTCAACTAAATAAAACCCCTGTGGGCATCAGGAGAAAAGATAGGTGAAAGTGTTGCTCATAAAGGAGCCAGCACAATGGACTGATCGACCTTCTTGCTGTGCTGTAAATTTCTATGGTACCAATGTTTTTTTATATACACTAGGAATCTCATTATTACTGGCATTGTTATGGGTCTAAGATGTGCAAACCAGATTTGGTGCATTAATTGTGACTTCCAGACTGCAAGAGTTGCAAACTGCGAACTGTGAATCCCAAGCTGGCAAAGTCTGAAATGAAGGCTGGCGAATAAAATGAGGCTCCTGATTTAGTGTAATGTGATATTTTCACAAATCTCTTTTGCAAATTCCCCCCTTGAAAACGACTATTTGTGGACACTGCTGTGCACAATTGGCTGTCACATTCCACCCACAAAATATACACTCAATATACTTTACAGTATATTCTGTGAAGCGCTTTGAGGCGTCTTGAAGACGTGATAAGGCGCTATATCAAATGCAAGAGTTATTATTATTTTATACCCTGTATATTTGATGTAATACTATCTTGGGAGTTTTCCTTAATGTGAGACATGGCAGTCTTACCTTGTTGGAAGTTTTGGCTGGGTAATCACCTTTAGGGTCTTATAAATAAGTCGGGGGAGACACAGTCTTGAGGCAAACTGTACATGGCTTGTTGGAAAGAACATAACCAAACTGCCTCTTCATCTTGTATATATTCAACTAGGAAAAAGCCCTAGAGGTTGTTTGGTGCAATGCAGGACATCAAACTTGTTGAATTATGGAATACAAATATGTGCATTATAAAGCATTTATCTGTACGCCTAGCACATAATTTAATCCAAAATTATTGCACCGATCTACAAACAATATAAACAAGGTCTCATTACCCATTGTTGATGATTTGGTCCTATCAAAATCATCGCTGAGCTTTTTAGAAGAATGCCAGTGCACACGTTCATCAAACTCCTTGCCTCTTGCTAGCGATGTCATCATGCGGGTATTACTGAAGGTAAAACAAAATCATTTTCTATCTTAAATTGTTCCCAAAACATTATTTTGCGAGAAACAACAATTTGCACTGATGTAGCATCTTTCCAATAAGAGCATCTCAAAGCATTCTACCAAGACATAGTGGGATCCTGAACTAGGAGGGAGGCAGGAGAAAGGATGGGGTAAAGTGCTTAAAGATAGCTCTTTAGATAAGTTTTGAAAGCAAAGAGACAGAGAGAGGGGGGAGCAGAGAGAGGTAAGGTGGAGGGATGTCAGAAGAGAGTTGCAGAGGGTGAGGGCAAAGTGGTTGAGGCAAAGGCATGAAGCAAACCAAAACTGATGAAATGGAGGGAATGGTGGGAGAAGTCAGGTTACAGGACATGGCAGAAAGCAGTCAATCCACTTCAGACAATTGGAACAAGCATATCAACACAAGCTGATCCTAAACTTAAAACCAATGGGTGATGTTCATAAAGGGAAAAACGTACACAATTTGGCTTACACACAAGATTCCAAAACACTCTAGATAATCTCAGGCTCAGTTTTGCATCTGCAATCTAGTCAGTTTCTTCAAGATTACATTATCAGAAACTAAAACATTCAGTTGGCATCTGAGGGCAAAATCAGGAAGTTCAACCCTAAACACTACTGCATAATAGCTTCACTCAAAAAAGGGAAACTTTTACAATAGAATTTAAAATATACACATACCTGCGTACTGTGCACAAATCCTTCAGAATATCACTAGCATACTCATTCACCAAAGGGATATTTAGAGGTATCAATCCTACTTCAGGTATGACCTCCAGTGGACCTGTGGGAAGGAGGTAGAAAACGAATATGTCAGCTGGACACCTGCACAGTTTATTTTGTCAAAGCTAAAGAGAATTTAAGGGACTTTGAGCAGTCAGAATACTAGACCAGAACTCTATTTGAGGCAGTTTCAGTTCACTAAAATGTACTTGGTGGAATACTCAATCATTACACTTTACAAAAAACTGTACGGGTCAGGAAAATCCCCTATATTCAGTCTCTGGTCTTCACAAGTTGAGCTGGGACAGAAGAGTTGAAGTCACTACAATTAGCCTCACTGCCTCAAGGCTATGCAGCGATATTCATGTTCCATATCATTATGCAGTGACTCCTGTTGGAATGTATAGTATGTGGGTATCAAGTGATGACAGGATCATGCTCAGGTGAGTTCCTACTGTCAACTGGTGCACATCAACATTCACTGACTGACCTTATGTATGAAGAAAGACCATTCAAACTAGATTAGCTGCTGCTGCTAGCCAGCATAAATTAGCACTCTCAGGATAAGAAGGGAGAATGGTTTTGTGTTGACACTCCCTGGATGAACGCATTATCTATTGCTATACTACTGAGTCATACAGCCCAATAAAGTCCAAGATTTGATCCCTGGAATGGGGAGAGGGAAACCATATTTGATGATTGGAACCACAACTGTAATAAGTTTATTTTTGTGCAAGTTGGTTTGTCATTGTTGTGTCCGTGCACTTATTCAACACACATGCCGGATCACCCACAAGGTACACAGTCACTCCAGTTTACAGGATATCCTGTGAAACGCTTTGACTCGCCCTCCTGACATGATTAGGATCAAATAGATGAAATTCAGAACAAACATAAATAATCTCAGAGAAACCTAAAAGAGAGGTCACATGGTGAGGTTAGTACTGCCGTACATTTGTTAAGCAGACAGCTACAACTTTAACCGGCTCTGGCTTTATACTGTAGCAATGTCCTTGATTGCGGACAGACAGCTGAAAATAGGACATTACTCCACTTCCCAGCCAAAAACCATACACTCTTTCCTCCAAATAAAAACTGCTTTGACAAAATAAGCCCTTACATATATTTTTGATAGCACATAAGAGAGCAAGTTTTTTTATGTAAAATATATCTAAATTATGTTAATTAATGGACTTCCACAAATGCAACATTTTCAGTGAGTAAATTAATGAAATATTGGAACATAAAACTGGAGTTTCAAGTACCTTCATTCACTGAATGGTCATTTTCTTGCAAAATGTTTCGTGTAGTCGCCTGCAAAGGGAATGCTTTCCCAATGTCACAGCCAGAGGCTAACTTTGACACAGTGTCCCACAGTCGCTGGTATTCACCTTCAATCACCTCTCCCAGTTGGATGTTGAACTCTTTTCAAACAAAATAAAAAAAGTGTACAACAATCTAAAATAGCTCTATGTTGCAATGTTTGTGGTGGTGGAAATGAGTTTTCCAAGTCGTATTCGAACCTCAAACCTTGAGTCAACCTATGGAACTTTGTTAACTAGGGTAGCTCAGTCGTTGAGTGCATCCAATGAGATTGGAACCCCAAGCCTTCTGGACTGAAGACCCTTTTGAGGTTGACAAGTTAAGGACCACATCTAAATATAATTCTCTGCAACAGTCTAGATAGTCTGGTTCTCTAGCCAGCAGGGTCCAGAGTACTCCAGATAACTGCTGATGACACAACAGTTTGAAGGGACTTGGGAGGGAGACTGGTAACTGAGAAGTATTATTATTCCCATTCAGCTCCTGTTAACCCTTCAAACTAAAGCCCTAATGGGTAGGGTCATCCTAGCTGGACAAGCAGCAGGAAGCCTGCAAGATAATGCTCTCAATGGCAAGCATTGTGGTTTTAGCTGGTTAAGACTCCAGCGATACCCCAACATGCACTCTAGGCTCCTCAAGGCTTGCCTTATGCCAACCTCCACCTTATATTGTCTGGAATTAGGTAAGCATGGGGCATCCCTCCAGGTAGAGTCTATATTCAAAAGATAAGGTAGGCAGGAGTATCTAAGGATATGCTTAAATGACAGGGAAATAATATTACAGTACATTATAGATCAGCCTAATAAAATGTTGGATCAGGCTCAGCAAGCTCAATGGTGTACTCCGGTTCTTAAACCTCCAATCTTCTAGTCTGCAAAGGCAGGGAGAGTCTTCATAGCAACCCATAAGAAGATGTACCATCAGTAGGTATGATAACATTAAGCAAATACAAAAGAAATTGCTATTACAGTGAACTAGAGACTGTCCAAAAGACTGAACTAATGAAAGAAAGAATTTTGCTTGGCACAGAAAGGGAAAGCTCCCTCACACATAATGATACTCTTACCAGTGAGATCTGATTTTCTGCTGTGAAGAACTACGTTTGTGAACAGTAGTTTATCACTCAAGTCACATAAATGCTTCATGTCGCGACTCCACTTCTTTGTGCTACCAATATTCTTCAGAGTAAGGTATCCACACATATTTTGCTGGAAATTAAAATGTAAAAAAAGTTTAAAGCACTGCAAACTATTTGTATTCAGACTGATTTCAAAATAAAGTCCAAAAAATGGCAGCAAAGTAATTGAGCTAATGCTGACTTCTCCCCCAACCTAGCACCTAAGCTACCTGTGCTAATCCCAATTATTGCATCTATTTTTGATTCCCTGCAGTTTTATATAGTTTTGTTTTCAACAATTTACTAAATTCCATTTGTATGTTATGGTCTTAGTTTTAGCTTGCATCAATTGTTGGACCCACATCAATTAATAGTATATGAATTTGTCATTTATATTGTATTTGACAAGGTATTTGTATTTAAGATTAACAATATTCCATTCACTTTAATAATCCACATATTTGTATACCGTCAAAAAAATCTGTAAAAGATCAGTTAGGTTAGAGAATTATCACTAATTGCTATTTCCAACTGCCAATTGCACTTGGAAAAGTCAGTAAATGTTTGTGTTCAAATCAGTGACTTTGTGCATATTTTTTCTTCTCTCAAAATTGTAAAAATAAATGTCCAAGCACTTTACAAAAATATAATTGATACAAAATTGAGGGAATGTTGTTACGTAGGCAAACACACCAGCCAATCTGCAACAGCCAACATTCCATAAATAATGAGTTGAGCAACCAACACGAACGTGAGGTAAATTTGGAATGAGGAGGGGAATGTAAACTATTTCTTTTTTTAAAAAAAAGCAGAAGCAAAATTATCCCTTTACATTCACCTCAATTACATGGCCACAGGACCTACCTACAAATAATAACAGAAGAATGAGATGACCTGGAAATAAATTAATAAAATTGTATATAGTGTAGAGTGCTGGTCTGTAGATAATTTATTAATTAATTTATTAATTTATTAATTAATTATCATTTATTATCATTTAATTAATTATCATTTATGAATTAATAATTCATTTATTCCAGCATCTTTGGCTCAACCACCTCTCCTCATCATTTTAACTGATCAGCTACTCAATCTGATAGGATTGGGTAGCTGATCAGTTACATAAATAAATAATTTGATTTAAAACTTATTACTGTATCTTTTTAATTCAAAAGTCTGGCATTAAAAAAACCTTCAAGCTTACCAATTCGAGAAAATGAGACAGTGGTTTGGACCATTCAAATCCAGTTGTTTTCTGAGCTCGTTCAGTTAATGGCAAGTGAATCAATAAGGCCACATGTACACAGTATAAACGGCACAAGTCTTTCGCCTCTTCAAATGATAAAACTTGATCTTTTTCCTGTTTCATGCAACCAGCAAATGTAAAAAATAATCAGGATACAACACCTTTAATTACTACTCAGCACAGTAAGTATTTACCAGTCTAAACGTTTAAAGGTTAAGTAGATTATTTAAGCAAACAGAAACATACACACACATATATATAGAATCAAAGTCGTAATAGCAAAGGTATCTGTGCTCTGCAGCATCTATCACAATGAGGAATAAAAGCAATCAGACCATGTATATCGTTGGACAAAGAAACGTGTCATCATCATAGTGGAGTATCAAAGAACAATGAATGGGGCCTAACAGATTACTAAACTGAGAACCACCTGAAGCAGAAAATACCCTTTAACGAAAGGACGAAAGAATGGAGTGGTTTTATGAATATAGAAGTGATGTGATCCAGGGGTTTAATAAGAATGATTGCTTAATGTGGGAGAGAGAATTTTCAGAATGGAAGAGAGGAGTTATCACAGCATAGCATAAAAATAGTAGCAAACTCATCTTTACAGATGAAAGAACAACCACCTCATCCCAGATAAGTTTGTTCTATTTACAGCACAGGAAACACTCCACAGAATCAGAAATGTGAACAGAAACAAATGGATATGTGTAAAAGCTCCTGTGCATTACTGCTGTTTGAAAGTCCACTATAGCATCTCTCTCATCTCAGAGGAAAAGCTGATATATGCAGGCCAAAAATAAGCATCGCTGTCAGTCAACAAAAAAATTGGCAATGCATACCATTAGAGACAACTTTAACTTTGGAAGTCCTGAGGCTCAGAAAAAAAAAAGCACCTCTCCAGGATTTCAAGCTAGTTTTTGTTTACCCTGCAGTAAAGCAAATTCCGTAGGTAGAAGCGATGTATGCATGCATGCTTTTTCTGTTAACTTATAAACACCTTTCGCATTCTTAATACCTTGAGTTGCAGCCACAGAGGCTCTCGTGTTGCTGGAATAAATGTAGTTTAATGCTTCAGAACTCCGTGGTACTGCTCCACTCAGTCTTTTCGAACTGCCTGGCCACATTTCAGATACTGAGAATGGATTCTGATGTGGAACAGGAATCCTTACCAAGTAAACTGGTCCAAATGGCTTTGGGCAAGTCACTTTTTTCCCCTCTGGCCTGATAAACAGGGCTATAATCTTCGATCATTGGACCGATATAGGCTCCAAAAGATGCCGAAGTTGCTCATGCGGACAAGACTGCTTAAGGATACTCATTCCTCCACCAGCATTTCTTGTCACTTTCACCATTTGCTTGTCTAACTGAAAATCAGATAAGATTACCAAGTCAAGGAGCTAAATGTGTGAGAGTGAAGAGATTTGGAAACCTTGTAGCGGATTTAGGTGGGCAATGTCACAATCAAGTTGTTCTTGACCATCACCATTGTAATTTTCTTACTGCTAAAGAGTACAGTTCATCTCCCCATTTAATAAGATATCTCAACAAATTATAATAATAATAATCCTTGTATTTGATATAGCGCCTTATCACGTCTTCAAGAAGTCTCAAAGCGCTTCACAAAATATACTGTAAAGTGAACTGACTGTATGTTTGACTGGATGAAAAAACATCGGTACAGTTCACATTCTGAGTGCCAGTGCTTTCATTCTTTGGAGATCCGAAAATACATGATACAAAACCAATCTAAGTGACCAGTCACGACTACAAATTTAACATAACTGATATACAGGCTGCTAAAAATTTGCAAGAATCAGTGTAAAAAGAAAAGAATACTTGTGCGATACATCCAAATGGTAAAAAGATAACTTACCACATTGCTAGTTCCTGTTTTAGCATTTTCTATTTGGGAGGTTTCTGTGGTTTTCAACGTGTTCATGAAGCATTTGAGAGTCACTGAGCATGAAACAACACAAACCAATCTTCTTATATCTGAGCCATCAGGCAATAAGCACTGTAGCTGAGAAAGGTCCTGCTTCACCTGACACAGAAAAAATGTTTCTGGTTAGAAATGCAGATATTTAACGACAACAGCTTTCCAAGCAACCATTTTCCACTTTGTTTCCCTTCCATTGTTGAGATCCTATATTTAAACCAAAAGTTTTAATTTTCTGGATCCAAATTGATTTTGCAATTTACTTCAGCATCTTCAAAGGACATTTTTACAAAACTTACATTTGATTAGCACCTTTCATGTAGGATAACCATCTCGAAACACTACTTAAAGAATAAATTTAGAATTTACCTCTTCTTGCATATTTCTCCTGTGTTTTTGGTCATCTCCAATAGACTCATTCATGAAATGCTTGGATAAGGTGGACACAATGGCCTTATAAGCACGTTCCAATTTTTTCTGGCCCTAGAAAAAAATTGCAATTTTATTTTACAAAGGCAAGGACACACAAAGAGTGAGCGAGTGGGAGAATTGGGCACATGAAGAGAGAAGTCTTAAGGATAAGATAGTTCTTAATATACATATTTGACACCCACATACACATGCTGTACACTAACTGAATAAAAAATTTGTCCATATTATGTGAGAAAGAATGCATACCTTCTGTAATGTTGCAACACCAGACGATTTGCTGGTGACGTGATATCCATAAACTCGGCGAACATCCGAACACATGCCAGAAGTCAGTACAACATTGATTTCATTTCCCAGGGTGTGGTAAATGAAGACATCTAACATGTACGTGCACACATCTTTATTGTTAGCTAAATGGTACGCCTGGTCACTGATCATTATGAAATAGGGGTAGTTTTCATGTAGGAAGTCTTGCCACTTTGAAGAGAAACAATTGGTGAAATCGGAAAACACAGGAACCTCTGTGTTGTTTTGAAGATGAAGAATTAGTGCCATACGTAATGAAAGAAGATAGAAATTGTTGGACCACATAGATTCAGCATCCTAAAATGGAAAAACAATGCACTGGATTTACAAAATAGTTACTAACATTCAAGTACGAGTTGTGCACTTTACATAAGTTTGCAATGACAATATATCAGTCAGGTATTCTTTTAACAAAGAACCGTCTCTGGTCTATTGCCAACATTTTTAAAGATTGCACATGTCAATTTATACTATGTTGTTCATTGTACTTTTCTACCAAAGAAAAAGGTTCTTCTAAATGCAATTCACAAAAGTTAAACCTTCCCCCTGGAAGGTGCAATACAATAATAACAATCCTTGCAGTTGATCTAGCGCCATATCAGTTCTTCAAGACGTCTCAAAGCGTTTCACAGAATATACTGTAAAGTGAATTGACTGTGTATTTTGTGAGCGAAATTGCCACTTGCGCACAGCAGTGTCCCACAAAGAGTTTACATTCATTTAGTGCCATTCACGTGGGGAAGATATCTCAAAGGGCTGGACACCGCTGGCTGGGCACCTGAGCTGGGGTGAGAAGCCTGACTCTGGGAGGTCTGGTGGGGGGATATAACTGAAAGCACAATAAACTGACATTTCTGATTTTAATCCCATAGGAGTCTAATTCTGGCCTTTCTGTGATTCGCTCTCAATAATTCAGCATGAGAGATCAAATATTTGCACTATTGCATTGTGTAAGGTTGGTCAGAATCAGCTCCAGAACTTGAAATAACCTTCAATTTTCAACAGAACAGAACTTCAATGAGAGTTTGAGAGGTTTGCTGAGGACTTTGTAGATATACTGTTTCACTTTTTAATGGGGTCAATAATATTAATATTATAATATTATATTAATATTATAATATTATCCTTGCATTTGATATAGCGCCTTATCGCGTCTTTGAGATGTCTCAAAGCGCTTCACAGAATATATTGTAAAGTGGATTGACTGTGTATTTTGTGAGTGAAACAAATGTGGCATAATTGTGCAAATGTAGAAAAATATAAAACTGAGTTTTGTAATGCTTCAGTCGATTATTCATTTGGAATATAATCGTACAGTGCTTTGAAAATTAATCCACTGTGGCCAGTGTTATCTATCATTTTCCGACATATTTAAAATGGACAGATAGTACAATGAATCTTGGTAATGAAGATCATGGTTTGTTTGAATTATTATTTCTAAAAGCATGTAGTAATAATTGTGCCAGTCTTCTGCTGCAATAGAATTTTCCCATTCTATGCATACATCGCCAAAGTCTGTGCACAACAACAACTTGCATGCATATAGCACCTTTCACGTGGGGCAGCGTCCCAGAGCGCTTTCCAAACTACACTTCATGATGAGAGGACATTCTTGCCCTTTATTCCTTAACTAGAAGACTTTGGAGTCCTGTAGCTCAGTGGTTAGAGCACTCGCTTTGCAAGCGAGAGACCTGAGTTCAATTCCAGGCAGGTCGAAACCTTGGGCAAGTTTCCTTACTCCACACGCCTAATAATAATCCCTCCAAAAACCAAAAACAATAATAAATTGGTCATTTTCAATCTACGACTGTTTGTGGGACATTGCTGTGCGCAATTGGCTGCCGCGTTCGCCCGCAAATATACAGTCAATTTACTTTAGTGTGCTCTGTGAAGCGCTTTGGGACGTCCTCCCGACGTGAAAAGCGCTATATCAAATGCAAGGATTATTATTATTATTATTTGAATGTAGTCAATTTCAATGGCTGCTGTTCATTGCATTATAATGGTGTCTAACTTGCAACATTCCCAAGCTGATTTGTTGCACTGATTGCAGCTTCTGATTTGGAAATAAGATTGTAAAATTCACAATGTGCAAATGCAAAACTTAAAACTTCAAAACTTTTCCACCTCCTCCTACATTCCAGCTTGAAATTCATAATTCCTCAGATACAATGCAACAAGATGTACAAACCAAACAAGGCCACTAATGCAACTAAACTAAATTGAAAATATCACAAATTGAACCCCAATAATGCTTCCGGATTAGCTTGTGTGAGGAACTAGCACAGCGAAGACACAATAGTTTGAACAGCTTATTTTTTTGGTGAAACATATATAGTTTGTCACAAACTGAAGTAGGATTTTATCCCCACTGCTTCGTCAGTTACAATGAGACTAGAAAGAGTCAGTGAAACATACCTTAAAGAACACGATTACATACTTTGCTCCTTTGTTTGTCAAGTCAGCCAAAAATCGTTCCACCAAATAGAAAAGGTGCAGATTTTGTCCATGACGAAAGGTGCTATCCTCCACATGTTCAATCATTAATGAATCTCCATCGATCACAAAAAATTCAGACTCCACTGAGTCATGTAGCAGGCTAGTACGTCTGAAAGAAAACCGATGAGTTACTTTACACGGAAAAGTACAGAATAATGCACAGAATAATGATTGCACGTTTTGAAAATATTTTATATAAAAGTGACCATTGAATTCAACTTAGATAGAACCAATTATGTTAAACCCAGGGCCACCTACAACCTTACAAGAACAAAGTATAAATCAAAGAATAGGAAAAGATTACAAACATTTAGTGGGCAGGATTCCCCAAGATAACAGAATAAATACAGAAGTGAGGAATCGGCACAGGAACTGGCCTACGGAGACGGTCCCCTCTAGCTGGCTCGATTTCGACATTCCAGCTAACTCTAAGGTGAGATGCTTGGCAATGGAATGTCAGAATTGGATCAACCCTCTGTGCCGGTCTCGGTATTCCAGGTGGAGTCAGGCGAGTTCTCAGTACTCCACCAGGGCACTGCTGACAGACCAGCATGTCTGGCATATCAGCTGGATTTGGAGGGACAGACAAGTGATTGGAAGCAGGGATACTTCCCAATCAGCTCCTATTAACCCTGCAAGCCAAAGCCCTAACAGGTCTGGTGATCCAAGGACAAGCATCAGGAAGATTAACAGGAAAGACGCTACACAAACGTAATTTGTTGTTGTTGCCAGACGGTGCTTTCAATGGCAAACTATGCAGCTTTAGCTGGTTTGACTCCAGAGAATCCCAACACACATGGGAGGTGCCCAAGCCTTGGCTCTTGCCAACTATGTCCAATACTCTCTGGAATTAGATATGTAGGGAGAGTGCACACTCCATTTCAAACACATGGAAATTTATGTGGCACATATGTGGCACATGTTTCAGCTGGAACTCTTATCTGGCTTGTATACTCTTAAGCATGATGATGGGTCTCCATGTGTAGGAAACCTGGCTGACTAAAATCCAAAAACACTGGGCCTAAAAATTGTGACTGTTGTGGCACTATCGTACTTTGTAATCCCGTTTGTAATTAAACTCATTAACGCAGGTAAAGCCTTGTGTTAATAACTGCAATAGCTGCTCAATCAAGCCCAAATACCACCTTTTTATTTATCAGTTCTGCAGAATGAGAATGAGTAGCACTCAACATCGACAAATTAGTTCTCAGTGCAATATCTCCGAATACCATTCACCAGCCTCCACCCCCAAAACATCTCCACCGGTCGCAAAAAATTCCGAAACTGCACAGTAAAGTTCGGCCCAAGTTAACAAATCATTTGAATGACTTTAAACATCAAACAAGCGCTGACAGTAAAACAATACATTTCAAAATCACTTTGATTTCTAACTGCTGCTTGTGGCATTCAAAGGGTGGTGGTGGGGGGGGGGGTGGTCAAGATTTGTTTGCATCCATAATATTAAAAAGTACACACATAAAATAGATATACATCCCACTAACTTTAGTGTTATAACCGATCACATGAGTTTTGGGGCCTCATGTGGCTAAACAGATATAACAGCTTGTGTTAAAAAAAACTATGTTAAGCTGCATCTTGATTGAAATGAGGGGAGATGTGTGTGTGTGTTGCGGGGGGGGAGAGGGCGGAAGTGAATGATGTTCTTTATTAAAAAAAAGTATTGTTCTTTTTTAAAAAAAGAACCAAAAAGCAGCAATATGCTGAGTCACAAAAAACACCTGGTCTGGCTGCCACCACAGCAACACAACAAGGCTTGGAAAGTGAGCAAACAAGGCAGAGCCCCTGCAGGATACAGGCAGCACAGGCAGGGCAGGGCAGGCAGCACAGGGAGGGCAGGCAGCACAGGCAGGGCAGGGCAGGCAGCACAGGGAGGGCAGGCAGGCAGGGCAGGCAGCACAGGCAGGGCAGGCAGCACAGGGAGGGCAGGCAGGGAGGGCAGGCAGCACAGGCAGGGCAGGCAGCACAGGGAGGGCAGGCAGGGAGGGGCAGGCAGCACAGGGAGGGCAGGCAGGGGAGGGCAGGCAGCACAGGGAGGGCAGGCAGGGCAGGGCAGGCAGCACAGGCAGGGCAGGCAGGGAGGGCAGGCAGCACAGGGAGGGCAGGCAGGGCAGGGCAGGCAGCACAGGGAGCACGGGCAGGGCAGGGCGGGCAGGCAGCACAGGCAGCAGGGCAGGGTCAGGAAGAAAGGCCCCGACATGTGCTTGAGGCCGGGCCGGGGTTGGGCTCCAGCGGCAGGAGATGCACAGCGCGACCTGGATGTGACTGTACCTCGTGCCCCGAGCACTTCCCGAGTCACAGTCACATCAGTGCGTGAGCCTCGCACACACACCGCCTGAACACCAGAGCGGCAGCACAGCCTCTCCTCCCCCGGGGGGGGGGGGGGGGAGCTGCAAATCACCGCCATGTGTGTGTGTGTGGTGTGTGTGGGGGGGGGGGAGAGCTGCAAATCACCGTCATGTGTGTGTGTGTGGGGGGGGGGGGGGGGGAGAGCTGTAAATCACCGTCATGTGTGTGTGTGTGTGTGTGGGGGGGGGGGGGGGAGAGCTGCAAATCACCGTCATGTGTGTGTGTGTGTGGGGGGGGGGGGAGCTGTAAATCACCGTCATGTGTGTGTGTGTGTGTGTGGGGGGGGGGGGGAGCTGTAAATCACCGTCATGTGTGTGTGTGTGTGTGTGTGGGGGGGGGGGGAGAGCTGTAAATCACCGCCGTGTGTGTGTGTGTGTGTGTGGGGGGGGGGGGGGGGGAGAGCTGTAAATCACCGCCATGTGTGTGTGGGGGGGGGGGGGGAGAGAGCTATAAATCACCGCCATGTGTGTGTATGTGTGTGTGGGGGGGGGGGGGGAGAGAGCTATAAATCACCGCCATGTATGTGTGTGTGGGGGGGGGGAGAGCTGTAAATCACCGCCATGTGTGTGTGTGTGGGGGGGGGGGGGGAGAGAGCTATAAATCACCGCCGTGTGTGTGTGTGTGTGTGGGGGGGGGAGAGCTGTAAATCACCGCCATGTGTGTGTGTGTGTGTGTGTGTGGGGGGGGGGAGAGCTGTAAATCACCGCCATGTGTGTGTGTGTGTGTGTGGGGGGGGGGGGGAGAGAGCTATAAATCACCGCCGTGTGTGTGTGTGTGTGGGGGGGGGGGGGAGAGCTATAAATCACCGCCGTGTTTGTGTGTGTGGGGGGGGGGGGGGGGAGAGCTGTAAATCACCGCCATGTGTGTGTGTGTGTGGTGGGGGGGGGGGGAGCTGTAAATCACCGCCATGTGTGTGTGTGTGTGGGGGGGGGGGGGGGAGAGCTGTAAATCACCGTCATGTGTGTGTGTGTGTGGGGGGGGGGGGGGAGAGCTGTAAATCACCGCCATGTGTGGGGGGGGGAGTGAGGGCTGTGTTTTTGGCGCTGGTCATTGTCAGGATTCACGTGAAAACTACCACAAGTGACGGCTTGACTTGACTTACCCGCCCCGCGAGAGCCTGGCGAGCAGCCTCATCCGCAGGCCTCGCAGGTAGTCCATGTGTTTCTGCAGATCTGAGGGTTTTACACCATCACCAACAAAAGGGAAGGAAGGAAAATCAGGATCGATGCGGCAACGACTCCATTTCCACAATTTATTTTACACACAAAAAAAAGACAATAACAGTAAAAGCTTCTCCTCCTGTCCCCCCCCCCCTCACCCCCACCCCCAGTCTCTGCTCTGTGAGTGTGAGGGGGGGGGAGATGGTCAACTGCAATCAAACCCTGAAAAATACACATATTTTATGTTTTTTTAAAAAAAAATGTTTTTCGTGCATCTCTTTGTTTTACCTTAAACTGTATTTTGTTTTGAAAAACAATAATTTGCAAAACAAAGGAGGAGAGGGGAGGGGGGAGGGGGGAGAGGGGAGGGATACCATCTCAATTCATTGGGAATTCAGAGGCGACAGAATAAAACAAAGCAAAACCCAAATCAAAAAAATTACCTTGAAAACGTATATCAACCGATTGCAAAAAAATAAGGAGTCTTTTGGAGGGGGGTTCGTAAATATATAGATTTTAAAATATAAATTAAAATTGTCGGGCAGCACAGGCCCCACACACAGAGACACACACAGACACAGAGACACACACAGAGACACACAGACACACACAGACACACAGACAGACACACACAGAGACACACACAGAGACACAGAGACACACACAGACACACAGAGACACACAGATACACAGAGACACACACAGACACACACAGAGACACACAGACAGACAGAGACAGACACAGACACACACAGAGACACAGACACACACAGACAGACACACAGAGACACAGACACACACACAGACACAAAGACAGAGACACACACACAGACAGACAGACACACACAGAGACACAGACACACACACAGAGACACACACAGACACAGACAGACAGACACACAGATCTGAAACACGATCAACAAACAAACAAAAACAAATAAACAAATTAATTTAATGAATTGATTAATTAATTCAAAAGCCACATCACCGGCCAGCGGGTCGGGGTCGCTGGTGCTCGCGGCCCCGGGACTCGGGTCCTCGTCGTCATCCTCAGACGGTTCCTCATCCTCGGACACCTCAGAGAAGACGTCCTCCTCCTCCTCCCCCTCCCCCTCCGGCCTGTCCAGGGAGAGCTCCTCCACATCCTCCTCGCCCTCCCCGCTCTCGGGCTCGGACTCCGGATCCCCACTCCGGTCACTGTCGCCGCCGCCGCCCTCCGCCTCCTGCAGGAGACCGTGATCCAGAGAAGCCATGAGCCGAGCCTCTCCCTCTCTCTGTGCCTCTCTCCTTCTCTCTGTGCCTCTCTCTCCCTCTCTCTGTGCCTCTCTCCCTCTCTCTGTGCCTCTCTCCCTCTCTCTGTGCCTCTCTCTCCCTCTCTCTGTGCCTCTCTCCCTCTCTCTGTGCCTCTCTCCCTCTCTCTGTGCCTCTCTCCTCTCTCTGTGCCTCTCTCTCCCTCTCTCTGTGCCTCTCTCCTTCTCTCTGTGCCTCTCTACCTCTCTCTGTGCCTCTCTCCCTCTCTCTGTGCCTCTCTCCCTCTCTCTGTGCCTCTCTCTCCCTCTCTCTCCCTCTCTCTGTGCCTCTCTCTGTGCCTCTCTCTCCTTCTCTCTGTGCCTCTCTCTCCCTCTCTCTGTGCCTCTCTCCCTCTCTCTGTGCCTCTCTCCCTCTCTCTGTGCCCCTCTCCTCTCTCCACTGTTCACCTGACACTCAATCTGCACTCTCCTGCACTGCTGTACTACAATCCGTCATTCAGATCGCACGAACCCCTACACACAACTCCTTATCCCCTCTCTGCACCCGCTCACAGCCTCCCACACATTCCTTTCTCTCTCTCTCTCTCTCTTCCACTCCCTCCCTTCCTCCCACTCTCTCTCTCTCTCTCTGGTCCGGATGCAAAGCACTGCGTGCAATGGTCCCTCCTCTTTCTCTCTCTCTCTCTCTCTCTCTCGCCTCCTTCCTTCCTTCCTTCCCTCTGTGCAATGTCACTGTGTGACATTGTACAGAGGAAGGAAGAGTTCTGAGAATCTCATCTCAATCCCAATGTCTTGCTCACTCTCCCTTGCAGGGCACTAACAATACTCTTTTTTTTTCCCCCCCTCCCCCCCAAAAAAGTAAAATATTGCAATAAATATTACTAAAATATATATATGTGTGTGTATATATATATACGCCCCATTCAATACAATACTACATTTGTAAAGTGCCTTTCGGGTCAGGGGACGACAACGTCCCAAGGCGCTGAACATTCAGGGATTAGGACGGGGGTGCGGCGGGGGGGGGGTGTTGGGATCAGGGAGGGTGGAGGGCAGAGAGGGTAGGAGGGTGGCCGAAGGCACGGTGAGAAAAGGAGGGTCTTGAGGCATGTCTGAAGGAGCTAAGGGAGGGGGCGAGGCGGAGGGAATGCAGAATGGAGTTCCAAAGGGTGGGGGCGGAGAGGCTGAAGGCCCGATCGTCGATGCTGGGGTGGGCCGGGTGGGGGGACATGGAGCAGGCCGGAGCTTGCAGAGCGGAGGGAGCGGACAGGTTGATAAGGGGTTAGCAGGTCATAAAGGTAGGAGGGGGCAAGGCCATGGAGGGCTTTGAAAGTGAGGACGAGAACCTTTGAACTCAATCCTCAGGGATGGGGAGCCAGTGGAGCCGGTCGAGGGTTGATGTGATGGGGTCACGGAGCCTGGTGCGGGAGAGGACACGAGCTGCAGAGTTCGGATGATCCGCAGCTTATGGAGGGAAGAGTTGGGAAGGCCGACAAGCAGAGCGTTGGCAAGCGTAGTTGTAATGAAGGCATGTATGAGGGTTTCGGCGACCTGAGGGGTGAGGCAGTGGCGGAGTCAGGCAATGTTGCAGATGTTGAGGAAGGCAAATGGGTCATGGCACAGATGTGGGGGAGAAAGGATAGTTGAGGTCGAACAAGACACTTAGGTTCCTGACAGATTTGGTGAGGTGGAATGTGCACCCGTGGATTCCGATGCTGCCAGTGCCTGAGGTGCGGAAGCGCTGGCGCGAGCCAATCAGTAAAGCCTCGGTCATTCTGATGTTCAACTGTAGAAAGTTGGCTCTCATCCAGCACTTGATGTCTAATAGGTAGTCTGTCAGGACATCAGTGGTCATGGGGTCGCGGGTAGAGGCAGAGATAAAGTTTGGTGTTATCCACGTACATGTGGAAGTTGACTCCATATCTGCAGATGGTGTCACCAAGAGGGAGCATGTACAGGTTGAAGAGGGGAGAACCGAGGACAGAGACCTGAGGAACACCGCATGAGAAAGGTGCGGGGGCTGGAGGAGAAGCTATTTGTGGAGACAAAATGGAGCCGGTGTGAGAGATAGGATTGGAACCATTCAAGGAAAGAACCTTGAAGGTTAAGATGACAGGAGAGGCGGTGGAGGAGGCTAGAGTGGTCCACAGGGTCAAAGGCAGCAGAGAGGTCAAGGAGGACGAGGAAACAGAAGGAGCACTGGTTACAGATGGACAGAACGTCATTTGTCACCTTTCCAGGGCTGTTTCCGTGCTATGGGAAGCATGGAAATCCGATTGGAGGGGCTCGTAAAGGGAGTGGTGGGAGAGGAAGGAGAGAAGCTGGGAAGCAACAACTCTTTCAAGGACCTTGGAAAGCAAAGGGAGGTTGGAGAAGGGGCAGTAGATAGTGAGCTAGTGATAGGTCAAGGGAACGTGTTTTTAGGATAGGGGTGATGACAGCTGATTTTAGGGGGGTGGGAACACTGCCAGTTGACAAGGAGAGGTTGATGAGGTCTGAGATTAAAGGGGAGGTGGAGCTGGGAGGTAAGGAGAGGGGAAGGGATGGGGTTGAGGGAGCAGGTGGTGGGCTTTATGTGGGTTATAGTGGTGATGAGAGAGCAGGGGGAGACATGTTCGAAGGTGTAGAGGGAGGGATGGGTAGGGGCCGGAGTGTGAGGGAGACATAGGGAGGCAGTGGCAGTTGGGAGGTCGGAGGCAGCTGAACGGATCTTCTCCATTTTGGTCTTGTGGAAATCCAGCATCTGCTCGCAGTTGGAGGAGAGGATGGGCAAGGCATGAGAGGGTGGATGGAGGTCCCGGTTGGTTGTTGAGAAGAGAAGCCTGGGGTTGACCTTGACCTCCAAGATTACCTTGGAATGGAAGGACAAATTAGCGGAGGTCGACTGGTAAGTTTTTGTGTGGTCCAACCAGATCTGCCAATGGACCACTAAATTAGATTTGAGTTAGGTGCGTTCGGAGGCATGCACCTGACCCTTGAGTAAGTGGAGGTGGCTGGTGTACCAGGGTGAGTTGCGTGAGTAGGAGGTGGATTGGGAGGTGAGGGGGACAAGGGAATCAAGAATGGTGGAGAGGGAGTTGTGGAGGCGGTGCCAGAGGTGGGCCAGAGTGGGAGGAGTTTAGACGACTCCAGGGCAGCAGAGAGGGAGTGCGAGGAGATTCTTTTCCAGGGGCAATAGGAGATGGAGGTGGGTTGGGTAGCGGTGGGGAGAGGGATTGAGGAGTTAAGGGAGATGAAATGGTGATCTGAAATGGCTTTATCGGTGATTGTGAGTTCAGAGACACTGAAGCGTCAGGTAATCACCAGGTTGAGTGGGTGACCATGAGCGTAGGTGGCAGAATGGATGTGGAGGGAGAGGTTGTGAGAAGAAAGGAGAGCGGAGAAGTCGGTGGAGATAGAGCAAGAGGGAGTGAAGTGCTGGTTGAAGTTGGATAGGATAGGAAGATGTTCAGAACAGAGCCAGACGGAAGCGAGGAGGGTGGAAATGTCAGAGATGAAGGTGGGGCCTGTTTGGGGGACAATAAATCAGGAGAATTTTGAGGGAAAGATTATGACTCATCCACTATACTGCTTGCTTGTTTTGTGAAGCACTGTTATCACCACCAACAGCAACAACTTGCATTTTTATGTTGTATTTCATGCTGGATAGCGTCCCGGAGCGCTTGACAGTAACAGAGCATGATGTTGAGCCGGCAGGAGGTGACTGTCGGCATGGTCGAAAAGGAAGGTCTTCAGGCACAGCCAGAAGATGGGGATGGAAAAGGCAAGCTGGAGGGATAGAGGAAGAGTGTTCCAGAGTTTCGGGGCATAGTGGCTAAAAGCACAGCCACCGATGTGGAACTGTGGGCACGAGGGACACGCAGAAGGCCGGAGCCAGTTGAGCGGAGGCAGCAGTTTTGCGGGGTATGTGGGTCAGAGAGATCCTCATCCTCACCTACAAGGCCATTCACGGCCTTGCTCCCTCCTACCTCTCCGACCTACTATCCCCCTACCTACCTGCCCGTACCCTCCGTTCCTCTGGCTCCGGTCTGCTCCACATCCCCCGCCCCAACCGCCCTACTATCGGTGGCCGGGCCTTCAGCCTCTCAGCCCCAAGGCTCTGGAACTCTATCCCCCAGTGCCTTCGCCGCCTCCTCCCTTTCCTCCTTCAAGGCCGGTCTCAAGACCTTTCTCTTTGACCGTGCCTTCAGCTCCCCTCTCGACTCTCTACCCCTTCCTCGCTCCCTCCCTTCCCTCCACTCACCCTGACCATTTCCCCCTTGCTCGGGTCCTGACCCAACTGTACAGCGCCTTGGGACGTCCTCCCGATGTGAAAGGCACTCAATAAATGGAATCTAGTTGTTGTTGTTGTTGTAGGGAGGTGCCAGCGCATGAAGGAATTTGAAAACGAGTGTGAGGATCTTGAAATCGATCCATTCGGTGCTAGGAAGCCAGTGGAGCCAGTCGAGAAATGCAAGGAAGGACCCTCCGCTCCCCCTTATGCCCTTAAAAAAGGCAAAACAGATTCAACTGGGCAAGATCATAGGGCAGAATTTTGGAATGATCAAGGTCACCATACTGCACAAACCACCCCTGCCATCTTCCCTAGCAGCACCAAGGTGATTCTTAAATTAATAATAATCCTTGCATTTGATATCTTGCCTTATCATGTCGTTGAGACATCTCAAACTGCTTCACATGATATTAAAGCGGATTGACTGTATCTTGTGGGCAAAATGCGGCAACAGTTTCGCACAGCAATGTCCCAGCTGTGGAGTAAATGACCAATTTTATTTGGGGATTGTTGGCCAGAACACTGAGAAAAACTCCCTTTTCTTTTCGAATAGTGTCATGTGATCTTTAACGTCCACAGGAACAGGCAGACGGCCCTTGGTTTAATGTTTCATACAAAGCTCGGCACCTCCAACAATGTAACATGCCCCCAGCACTGCATTGTAGTGTCATCTTAGACAATATGATTCCAAGTCCTGACGTGGGGCTTGAACCCACAGCCTTCTGACCCAGAGGTGAGAGTGCTACCACTGAGGCAGACTGACACACTGTTCTAGTG